CATATCAAAGTTTATTACAAAAAAAATTAAATGAAAATCACTCAAAAACCCTGCACTAAACCTAAGAACATAAATAAGATCTAGAAAATGAACACTAGACTGAAACTAGACCAGTGGAAGTTCTACATGGACCTACCCTCTTCATTTTGCTCTCAGAAGGTACAAAACCGATGCATTGAATGTAATGTGAGTCCAAGGTACACCCAACAAAATCACCCAACAAAATCCTGTGGGAAACACAGAGTTCACTCTGTACTGGACAAATATTTGCTGTGGGACTTGCAGGCTCGTTACCCACCGCTGACAGCTTGACAGGCCTCCTGCACATTGTCACTATTGCTGATGATGGACTGGACAGTGGTTCTTCTAGGAAGGGGCTCGGCGAGTGGGTTATGTTATAACATTGCATCTTGAGCATTATTTCTGCACCACAAAGGATTGTGTGTCAGTAGGCAGCATGCTGGCATGCTGCAAAATTACACAAAAGCTAGTGGGACATCCTGACATCTGGCAAACTGAATTTGACACACTTTTCTGGTATTCTAAATAGTATAGTTATAGTAGAGTTTCAGGGCCAATTAAAAACAGTTGATTGTTTTGAGTGATTTTTAATCCAAGAGAAACCAATTTTATAGACACGGTAATAAATATGAACGAGAATTTAGTGTGTTTCATCACGGTACATGATAATATAATTATATATCATTTATTCTGTGGATCAAATAAAACAAAAAAAGAGTACAGGTAGTGAGACAACATAATGAAGTTAGGCATCTAACAAGGACAAAAAGCAGTATAGATCCCATACAGAATCAAATCTAGAATAGTTAGAATGTGGAATAAACAGTGAGTGGTGTGAACTCATTAGATATGAGCAATGGAGACATCATCAAAGATAAACAGTGTATAAAACCCCCCACTGTCTAAAGCAGGGGTCTCAAACTCCGGCTCACGGGCCAGATCCGGCCCACTAACGCGTCTGGTGCGGCCCGCCAGGGGGTACCAAATCCAGCCTGCCACCGTAGACCTTTGTGCAGAGACAAGAAATGGAGGATCACCAGTGCTTTAAACTCATATTTTTCACACTTTTGCACTCTGAATTGTGAAAAACAAAGACAATCTTCTGATAGTGCTGCTTTGATTTTTTTTACTGATCACCTTAAAAGATTTACTTGTGTTGTCTCTGCTTTGGACCAACAGGAGCAATATAACGAAGGGCTTTGAGATATGTGGGATAGCATCTGGAATTTTACACTTTAACCCCATTTCCTCCTTTTCAAAAGTCCATTAATGCTACTTCATGTTTCTATGGCACTACTACTAACAAATCCTTCCTCAGCGCAAATATTCATGTTTGCATCGTTTTCATGTGCATTGTTTGCCATCTGCTGGTGAATGAAAGCACTGTAGGTGTAATACTGTTGAACCCTGCAGATATTTTGACTTGACCTAGTGGAGAAAAACAATGTTCTATTCAAGTGTCCGCATAGGCAATGACAGTGGGCCAGCATGAAGAAAGCTGGAGCCTCAAACTGAAGTGGCTAAATTACATTTTGGGTTGTTATTATATTTGTTTTTATCCTCCATGGGCGGAACATAAATTCTTTCATTGAAAAGGTTTATGGTGTCAAAATGCAAAAGTGTTGTCATCTTGAGGTTGTGTCATATTTATACTATTTGAATCCAGATAAACCTCACAGCAAATCAGCACACCCAACAGTGATGCAGCCAAATAAGATAGGCGTCAAACATGTTCAGTTGTCAATGATTTTTTACACACACATATATATATATATATATATATATATATATATATATATATATGTATGTGTAAATATATATATATATATATGTATGTGTAAATATATACATATGTATATGTATATATTTACATATATGTGTGTTTGATTGTATAGCGATATGTGGTTTGATGTGCATATATGCGTATGTGTGTATATCTACGTATATGTGTTTACAGATTGATGTGTATTTATGTGTGTGTGTGTGTGTGTGTGTATATGTATTGGATTAATCGCAACACTACTGTTAGTGGAGGAACCTTTTTTATAATTTATATATATACTTGTGTACACATAAACAAACGTATGTAAGTGTGTATGTATATCTGCTCCACCATTAAGCAGAGAACATCCTCAGATTCTCAAGCAGAGATTAATCCAGATTTAAGCTGTTTTAAATGTGACCCACCTTTTGCAGTCAGACCCCCTCTTCCTGATGTTATTTAATTTTAATTACGAATGTTTTGTCTTTTTCAAGCACATTGTGACCGTTAGAGAGATAGCTGGTGCAATAAATAATATAATCTCACATCTGTGTAGATTGTGTTTGTTTTAGAGGGGCGGCCAATGCGCACACCCAAGTCAAAGTGTCCCTGCGCAAGAACCCTAACTGCTCCCTGGGTGCCTTAAGGGAAGCACACTGCTCCCACTGTGTGTGAGGGGTTAAATGCAGAAAATAATTTCCCCACTGGGATTCATAAAGGATACTTTCTTCTTAATTGTATTATTGCAGATTGAGAATTAATTTAAAATCTGCAAATCTATGTGGCCAAGAATATTCAGAGTTTCTGACTTGTGACCATCTGGTCGTTTCCCATTTAAGGTAGTCAGCAGATTACCTATCCTGAATAACTGATACAATCAACAAGCAGGCTGCTGAGCGACACTTTGACAACATTCAGGCCAATCATGCGTACAAAGACAGTCACCAGTTAATAAGTTAAGAAGACAAACACTAACTTTATCCTGTCCTTTTTTGTATTATTTAGGCCTACATCTTCTACACGTGTCCTAAACATTATATTTGACGAGGTTATACTGATCTCAAAAGAGCAGAAAATAACGCCGCTTTCTATTGGTGAAATGAAAGTGTCCATCAAAAGTAGTATCCACTCACAGACAGCATTACATGACGGGGAGGATGTGTTGAATGTCCACACAGTATGCTGCAAAACTGTTGATAATTTCACGGCTAAAGCATTTTTGGGGAGATTTGGGCAACGAGCCGCTCGTTTCCTCCGTTGCTGCAGACAGGTAGGGACTATTGAGCTGCCGCTACACGTTGATCGAACCATTTGTATCAGTTACAACGCGCACAAACACCCAGGAAACCAGTAGTTTCTGAACTGACATAGATTGAAAGTAGCATTTTGGAAATCCTTTTCGGGGCTGTCTGTCGAAGCCGACAGGTTTCCGCGCACCTCTGTCAAACGGAATGTGATAGATGGTGAAGTTTAATCAGGGATGTTGTTAGCAAGTACAGGCCAGTCAGGCTAAGAGCACTTTGCGAACCGGGGGAGGGGAGGGGTATAGAGCTGAGATGAGGATTGTCTCCCACCTCGAGGAAAACGAAAGTGTTTTCGCGGAAATTATATGACTGAACAAGTGTGTATTTCTGGGCGAGTTAACGCTCCGCGTTGGTACTTTTGTGGGCTGAAGTCGTTTAATGTGTCGCTGTCGCCGACAGTAAAATGCATCATCTAGCGAAGTACTGCGTTTCTGTACGACCACTATCAAAGCAGACAGAATAACTCAAAGGACTTCCGGTTTTACATTATGAAAATAAAAGTAGGACAATCTACTCGAACGTATGGTGATAACATACAGTGTACGAACAGTTTACATAAATGACCAACAAGACAAAAAGGGCATCTGTAGTCAAGAGACTACTTTGGACCCCAAGGAGGGTAATAGCCCAAGATTCAAAGCATCTAATTTGGCTTTTTGTTATTGCAAATTTGTTTTACATGTTGTACATCTGCTCCACATAAGCACACTATCAACCCAGATGGACCAGGTAGTTTTCTTCCAACATTGTTGTACAGGTTTTGGAGTATGTGGTTACTAGGGGAATCTGGGAACATCATATTGTCGTATAATTGCTACATGCTCATCCGATACCATGCATCTTATTCTATTTTAGCGCAATTTCATTTTGCATTCCACTCTATGCTTTTAAAAACATGTTTTTAATTTAAATGTATTTTTTATATTGTTGTGTGTTGTTGTAATGTATTCTATGTGTTGTGTACACTTTAAATGCTAACGATGTCAAAAGCTATTTCTTCAACCCTAGTACTTAGCTCAAAATATGTGTTTGCGATTAAAATGCTACTTAAAAAGCTCAGTTCAGGTCAGCAATACACGCTGTGTTGACTTAATCCATTTCACGTGCACATAATTAAAATACGTGATTAAAAATATAAATACATGCTCGGCGGGGCGAGCTGCTGACAAGTTTTCTTCTTCAATTTTATTTACAAATAGCCGTGCTTCCGGTTTGCGTGTGTCGTATTTTGACTAGCTTGATGCTCTGTGTTCAGTACAGCCAGTGCTGAACTGTTATGATGTGTCAATAAGTTAAAAGGTGGACGGACCAATGATGAGAGGGGCCCCCCGATACCTGAGCGGGATATTAGAGGTACGTTGACCCACGGAAACCACGCCGATGACAGAGAACCTGAGGTTGGATGGATGCGCCGTTTAAAGCCGCTCGCTGTTCTCCGCCGCTCAGTCAGTCACTCTGAGAAATAGTTATTATCGCTGCTGTGGACATGATGTCCGCCCGCTGCCGTTCCTCCGGTCAATCTGCCGCTTCCCTTCGACGCTTCATTCATAGCCGACGCTAGAATTCACGGCGCTGTCGCTGTTACCGTGTTGCTTCAGTATTTCGCCACTCGTTTCTGAAATCACCGTGTAAAAAATAAATGGCAAAGCAACTGTTTCTCAGTGAGGTGGTATGACCCCCCCCCATCTGCATCAAACACACAGCCGCCAACCTGCGGTGTATCTAAACGACCAGTTGCAACAGCACTGACGAGTATTGTGACACACTTTAGTCCACGGTTGAGTCAGCAGCTGTTCCAGAAGCTTACGAGGCTTCGGAAACCATTGCACGTTAAAACCGTCACACGTCCAGTTAGCAGGCTATGGAGCTAGCAGGCTAACTAGCTGCTTTTATTCCTAGTAACACTGCTAGCAAAGGGAGCCACTGGCCGGCAAAATGCTGTCGACAGATGCACGTGCCCGGACAGAAAATCCCCAGTTTAATTAATCACTGTGGATGTTTAGTCCCCGGAGCTGGAGACCTTCCCTCGACATCGTCATCGGAGAGTTTGACAGGAGTGAAATATCCCCACTACTGTACTGTACTTGGGGGTTCTCCTCCAAAGCAAGATGGACTCTCATTCGGCTCGTCCGTCTTGTCAGAGCTCAGATGGGCATCTTTGCCCGAGATGAGAACGTGTGCGTCGAAGGTGGGAGCACGTTAGAAAAAGCGAACACGTCGTTTGATCGAGTAGCTCGCCCATTTGGTGCGCGCGAGAAGCTCTCTACACGCCGCTTGGGCATCAGCAGTACCTGAGAACAGTAGAGAGGCTAAACCTGTTCGCAGTGAGAGCCTCGCTGCTTCACTTAGGCGCTGTGCCGAGGGATCAAACGCGTCCACTGGTCTCAGGGCTTCGGCCTACATGTTGTGGCTTTGGCCACAAGGGCGGATCGACTGCACGATTGAAGTGATCGGTGATCAGATCAGACAAAATGTCCCACCGTACTTTGAGGCTGACGTGGTCTCGTGCTATGCGCCGTCAATCCCCATTGCTCTGTTAAAGTTGCTTTGCGCACGTTTGTCCTGCAGCCGAGCTCGTGTTTCTGGAGGATTGTCGCAGAGATGACCGTGTAACGCATGACTGATAGCGGTGTCTTGTGTTTTATAGGTCATCGTCATTGCATGACAAAGGCTGTGGCAGATTCATCGTCATCAATCATACAGTATTTCCATAGCTTTTTCCTCTGTAAGTATCCTTGTTTTCACTTAACATTAATAAATACACACCCATTGATCTCGTCAGGATGATGTCCAGACGAATACATGGAATCATTAATTCATTGAATGCTAATTTAATTAGTGGTATGGGTGCAGAACAAGTGCAAACATGCCCAGTACAAACCAATAAAGGAAATGATACAGGGTTGTTTAATTAATATGTCATTTCTCTAGTGATTTTCTGTGAAAAACATTATAACGTGCAGTTTATGTGAAGAGTTACATATGTTGTATCCAGTCCTCTTAATTTTGTTAGGCCATTAGACTTTTCTGAAATTAGTTGCATTTCATTTAGCAGAATAACTTGATTATGTACCCATCTGAAATGTGGTAGCAAGACAGAATTAGGTACATATCCCTTCTATATCATAGCTTGTAACTTGCCCGCAGGGGTCTGCAATTACCACTTTCTTACCACTTTTTATCTAAATGAAAACTAGCCGAGGGAAGCTCTAAGAGAGCACAGAGTCCGTTATAGATCCTATGCTGAGCAGTAATACAGAGGAACATGTTTACCACTAGTTAAAAGCAATGACCACTGGAGCCCTCTGTTTGTCCCATTCCTGTTTCCGTTTAGAGCCTGACACATACTGGATTTGTGAAACTAATGCAGATGTTAGGGAGTCAAAAAATTAATTTTGTGTCTCACTGGCCAGTTTATTAAGTACACCTTGCTAGTAAAAGGTTGGACCCCATTTTGCCTTAATTCTTTGTAGCTCAAGGTATTGGAAACATTAGAGATTTTGGTCCATTTTGACATGATAACATGTCATGCGGCATGCAAACCTCCCATTCCATCACACCCCGAAGGTGCTCTATTGGATTGATATCTGGTGCCTGAGGCCATTGGAGTACAGTGAACTCATGCTCATGTTCGAGAAAGCCAGTTTGAGATGATATGTGACATGGTGCATTATCCTGCTGAAGTAGCCATGAGAAGATGTGTATACTGTGGTTATGAAGGGATGGACATGGTCAGCAACGATACTCAGGTAGGCTACGGCATTTAAACAATGTTCAATTGGTATTAAGGGGCCCAAAGTCTGCCGAGAAAATATCCACACATCAACAAGCCATTTTGGTCCACACAACAACCGCTCACTGGATATTTTCTCTTCTGGCCATTTTTTGTAAACTTTAGATGATCCCAGTAGATCAGCAGTTTCTGACATACTCAGATCAGCCCATCTGGCACCAACAACCATGCCATGTTGCTTGGTTTGAACTTCAGCAAGTTGTCTTGACCACGTTTTTATGCCTAAATGCCATTTAGTTGCAGCCATCTGGCTGATTAGCAACTTGTATTAATGAGCAATTGAACAGGCTTACCTAATAAAGTGGCCGGTGAGTGAGCAGTTAGCAACTGCCTGATGCTGTCATGTCAATATGGACCCAAATCTCTGAGGAAGGATATATATGTGTATATGTATGGATGTGTGTGAATGTATGAACTGTCAAAATGTTTCCAGGGTCTGAGATTGGCCCCCATTTTTGCATTTATCATTTATTTGATTCTAGATTTGAGTCTAGAAGCCAGAGCTCAACTTCTAATTCTATCTTTGATAACCATGACTGCACTTAAAAGGTCATTCGGTAAATTGCTGAGTTTATCACAGATATGTTTCTAATGATCGTAAATACATGCTTTAATATTCAGCATCTTTTGGGGAAAATGTAGCCTGATGTGATTAGTTATGTTTGTTTGAAAAATGTCATTTCCATTACAAAGAAATATAGAATATATAGAAGCCAATAGAAATATATTGAATTTTCTGGTCTGGTCATCTACATCACCACTAGTTACAGTTCTAAACACTAATAATTTGGCAGATGCTATACCTGCTTGCATTAGATAATAAATAGCAAATGATGCATGTCTGTGGACATGGCCTGATGATGTACCCCTCTGTTGTAGGTGCGGTAGTACCATGAAGGGTGGAGGTAGGGGAAAGGAGCCACCTGTTGCAGGGGAGATCACTGGCAAGCGCCCAAAACGCAAATGCCTGCAGTGGCACCCACTTCTCTCCAAAAAGGCTCAAGATTTCTCTGAGGAGGAGGAAGAGGAGGATGAAGAGGAGCTGGAGAAGGTGAGTGTAGCTCAATCGGCCAGTTATTTGTCTGCTTCACACACTGAAGGGACAGAAAACAATGCAATGGTTTGTGAACTTGTTCCCAGCAGCCAGTGGTGTGTAGCAAGGACCAGGAGTCCCAGGTGCAGTGTGGAAGCACAGAAGTGGAGGAGGACTCAAGTGAACAGCGGGCCCGGCGGCCCATGAATGCCTTTCTCCTCTTCTGCAAACGCCACCGCTCCCTGGTGCGGCAGGAACACCCCCGTTTGGACAACCGCGGAGCCACGAAGATCCTGGCTGACTGGTGGGCTGTGCTGGAGCCCAAAGAGAAGCAGAAATACACTGACATGGCCAAGGAGGTGAATATTTCTAACCCTCCTTAAAAATTGCAGCAAAGACACTCCATAGTTTCAAACTATTTTAGTAGTGATGTGTACAGTGGACCATCGCTTAATGCTAAAGAGCTAATCCAACTTGATATCACAGTGAGTTAGACTGCTAACCGTAGCACCGCGCACAAGGAAGTGTATGTCTATACTGCTCATCCACCTTTGCATAACCGAGCTAACTTATTTTAACTCCATTCACTTCTGAGCTTTTTTTTTTTTTTTTTTTTTTTCGGCAATCGCCACCGAGCTAAAAGCTAAAATGTCGACTAACGGTCGCGCAAAAGCCAACCTGTTACTTTGAGTGCGCAATGATATGGAACGCACGGGTCAATGTGACATTATGCTGAGTAATGCACACCCCCGTGATTCACACTCTCAACCAATCAGAACGCTGCATTTCATCTACCCGTATTATAAGTACATTTAATACAAAGTACTGTACTTGAATTTGGGCTGGGCCTGGTGACGTTTTTTTATTTTGTCATGCATTTCTCCTGTAATAAGGACATAACTTTGATTTATACTTCATGCTATAAATCCAGAGGCTTCAAGGTTTCGCTTGTAACTAAATTAATATTGTCCTTTCAGTACAAGGATGCCTTCATGAAGGCAAACCCGGGCTACAAGTGGTGTCCCACCACCAGCAAACCAGTTAAGAGCCCTTCCTGTCAGCCAGTCAGCACCCCCCGCAAAAAAGTTTGGTCTTTCTCTTCCAACTCAACAAAGGATTCATCCACTGCCAAAAAAGTGCCCAAAGCTGACAGTATGCCACAGTTGAACTTTGCCATGGCAGGTGTGTATACTAAAACATTGTGTGTTTGGTCACTATATGACCAAATGCTGGGTTGTTTTTGTAACTACTGTCGTTTTCAGATCCTACCAAGATGGGAGGCCTCAGCATGCTGCTGTTAGCTGGAGAACATGCCCTCACAAACAGAGAGGTGGATGCATTTGTGTTCTTGACAATATACTAATATACTAATATTCTTTTTTTCCTTTTTGTTAACTAATACTGTGTTGTCCTCTCTAGATCCCTTCCAGCAATAAAGCAAGTTTACCTGACACAGCCAGCGAAGGGAACTCCCTTCCAGGGGATGAGGGAGAGGTGTGTTTTGGGACGTTATGTTTTACACCAGATAGTGAAGGTTGTGTCGTCTCTCTGGTCAGTGACCGGCCTTAGTGTAGGATAAAAAAACATCATACTGCACATTGCAGGTCTTGCAATTTTATGTTTATTTATATCTACTTACTTAATACTTCAGATTATTATTATGAAATAAAATCAACCATTACATTCTAATGGAATAAGCTGCCCAGCACTATATAGAGAAGTACATTCAAATGATTCAATTCAATTCATTTTATTTTGTATAGCCCAAAATCGCGAATTACAAATTTGCCTCAGAGGGCTTTACGGTCTGTACACATACAACATCCTCTGTCCCGAAACCCACCATCGGCACAGGAAAAACTCTCCAAAAAATGAAAAAAACCCTTCCAAGAGGGGGAAAAAAAGGGAAGAAACCTTAGGGAGAACGTCAGAGGAGGGATCCCACTCCCGGGATGGACAGACTACAATGGATGCCATGTGTACAGAATGTGGCTGACATGTATCCATAAGATAATTAATCTAATAATATCATGTTATTCTGAGTCCTTTTACTTTTGGTACTTTCAAATCAAAGGATTTCAACAGCAATATTAGTCTGAAAAGTTTGCTTTCCTCAGTCAGAGAGAGTCACAGATGGTGGGAAAGGGGATTGGCTAAAACTAAAACGGGCTTGCTCTCCCAATCTCAACCTACAGATGCTGTCTGGAACAATACCGAACAGAGTGCCTGAGCTTACTGGGACCAGGGTGAAGTGTGCCTCATCCCCTCTGGCAGAGGTTAGACTTAATGTCTATTCATGAATGATGCACCAGTTGTCAAACCTGAGTTTTACAGCCTCTGGAGGTCCTTTGGTTCATTGCACTAACAACATTTAAACCGAGAGAGATCGAGATTTGTTCGATCCAGTGTGACGTCCTCCAGTCACTGCAAACACAAAGTTAATACCAATCAATGTTTCTTCTTGGTGAAACCAAAATTATACAGATCTGCATAGCCATTTTAATGCCACCTTCAGGCCAACGTGTCTGAGTTTGTGTGTTTAAAAGATGAGCTGAAAGTTCATGGTAAGCTTTGGTAAGCTACGCTGCATGGTTAACTACTGAGAATCAGACCCAAACCTGGCTACTGACCAGTCAGCTCACTGGGAAGGTGAAATGACCGTTCATAAAGGATCCTGAGAGTGCAGTGAGAAGCAATAGGTATTGTAATATCTCAGCTTTATTTTAAAAAAATAAACAAATAGTAGGGATTAGTTGTTTTTTCACCCTGATTGTGTTGATGCTTTGAGTCTGTTACTCCATCCCTGCAGACCATAGTAACATAAAGAGCGAGGTGATGATTCGTTGATGTCTTCATTAGAAAAATAATCCACACTTCTCAGACCCTCTCTCTGCTGTCATCATTCATCAACTGTAGAATGTGCAGACATAGTCGCATACATATAGATACATACAGATTCCCACATAAATCTTTGAGCTTCTATCCTTACCCATCTTACTGTGTTTCATTTATATATGATTTGTTTGTTATACATTTCACCTTATTAAATATTGCTTTCTGTGGCAGCTTTATAGCACTATTCTCCAGCTGGTGTCACTGTTTCCTCTCATGTCTCACTCAGTATTGTTTAAAGCCAGAGTGCACAGAGCCAGTTGATGACCACCTTAATGGAACTGGTCATCCAGGATCACCAGTGTAAGGCTCAGTGAGGCCAGGTCACTTAAAAAGACCAGGCCCTCGGTCTAGTCTGTCCTAATACAACAGTAAATACTGCTGAATACTAATGTCTAAGCAGAGCAGTGTGAACTCATGCAAACCTTCTGCTGGCTTCACAGTCATCTCTCTCTGCGGCACCTGAAGGAAAACCATGCAGTCAGTCTGCTCTCTTCCAGCTTGCTGAGGTAAAGCATTCAACAGCTTGCACACAGTTCATTTAAAATTAACACAATATAGTTTTATTTAATAACTGGAGAGAGTGGTTAGCCTTGAAAACACCCTTTTTACCCGATTACGTCAGCTCCCCTACACGTTAGAGATTGAAATATTGTAAAAATAGTTGTCTCGTTTAGAAGTCTGTTGGCTGAAAGCAAACAATGATGATTTTACTTTTAGTGATGAAAGTCCTCACTGACTTCTGCTGTGCTTATTTTTCACACATTTGATTTTTTTCATCTGCGTCAAAAGTACATTTTCTGCTTCAAAAGTAGCTCTATAATAGGCGTCCAAACAACACTTTTCTGTTGTTGATTTTACAATGCAGACGGAAGGTCACATACAACTTCTGTGTCTTTTCAATCTTTGCCATTAATCTGATGCTGTGCCATGTGACAATGCTATCTGTAGATGCACATAAAAGTGTTCCAATAAGGGCACAGTGTAAAGCAAGCGACTGACCGATACATTATTCAGTCATGGCTACATTGATAGAAAGAATGTAGCAACATATTATTAGGAGAAAAATCTTATGTCCCTTTTGTATTGCTTTGTTTACCATTGAGTTCTTTGTTGTGTCGGTAAAGATGTGCTTAGCGTCTGAAGCTGGACAGATGGACAATGCAGTGTCTCAGCAGCCTGAGGACTGCTCCTCTGCAGCCTCTCTCCAGCAAACCACAGTCAAATCAGAGATCAAGGAGGAGACACAAGACAGAGACGACTGTCCCCCTGCCTCTTGCACATCGGACCCCTCACCTTCGCTCTCCTCCGTCACTTCTACCTCCACTGATGCCATTCCACCACAACTCAGCAGCCAAAACACCCGTGTCAAAGCTAAAAGCAAGAAAAGAGAGGGGGCCAAGTCAAATGACACGGACGAGATCTCCTGCTCAGCAAAGAAGATCTTCAAGAAGAGTACCCCGGCAGAGTCCAACGTGGACAGTGTCTTCAGCACGATCGAGGCAGTGGCCAAAGGGGCCTGGAAGGACACTGAGGAGAAGCCCAAAAAGAAGATTCAGAGCAGTCCTGGTAGTGGCAACATTGGTGTGCCCAAAAAGAAGAGTAAGCCCAAAGTCAAGGTCCTGGTCCAAGACAAAGAGGAGGAGATGGAGGAGGATAGCGGGCAGGGTGGGCAGCACAGTGCCTCCGAGGTGGAAATGAAGAACGAAGAAACTGAAGAGACGAGCGATGGCAGTCCCAAGACCGAGGCAAAGGAGGCAGGCATGGGAAGCACAGATACGCAGGGCATTATGGCAGAGCCCCATCTCTCCCCCTGCAGCCCCTCCTCTTCTAAGCTCAAAGAGGAAGACAAGGGGAAAGAGAGGTCAAGTGAAGGGGCCCCCGACTCCAACACAGAGAGCCACGGCTCCAGGAAGTCAGAGCGCAGCTGTAAAGGAGCTCTGTATAAAACCCTGGTTTCGGAGGGAATGCTGACCTCACTGAGAGCCAACATCGACAGAGGTATCCACTTTGAAACTAGGGCTAACTGGGATTTCATGAGTGCTCTTTTTCTGTTTGTCTGAAGCGTTGTATGCATCATGTGTGCAGGTAAAAGAGGTGCTCTGCGTGCATCTGATCATGATGCCAACTGGAGCGATGACAGCTGGACAGTTTCTCAGATAGGAACTAATAATCCCAAGAAGCTGAAGAAGTCCAAGTCCAAAGAAGAATGTTCACAAGGGTGAGTGATGTCTTATTACCATGGTGTATCTTTCTGTGGATGATTTAATACAGTTATCTTCATTTCGTACCTTGTTTTAAACACAATTCCGAATAGCGGATTTGTACATCCATATAACTCTTAAAAGTTCTTCACCAAACCACACCAATCACAATTTTTTGATTTATAGATGTTTACAAGTCATATATATGTATCATGGATCTCTTACCTCAACATAAACATTCAGTCCACTCATTTTATGACGGAAAAAGGACTATGGCGATATGTGTCCGTCTTAACAGGGTTTCAGGAGGCTGCGGTCTCGTACATATGAAACTCATACATGCTGTAGTAATCCTGGGTGTTAGATCTGATGCTCTCGCTGTTTTAAGATCCTTCACTAATCTGAGTGTTGTTTGAAGGTTTGGTTATATGCTCAGATCCAACGTTTGACTTTGAACTTCACATGTCAGCCTAGGGAAACTGGAGGAGGAGTTTGAAAGGAAGTTTAACAGCCTGCCACAGTACAGCCCCATGACGTTTGATAAGAAGGGGACAGCTGTCACAAAGAAGAAGAAGCCCGACGGCTCCCTCACCCAAGAGGAAGTCACTAAAGCCGGAAAAGGTAAGAAGAAAAGCAAAGATATGAAATAGAGACTCGTCTTTAATATCCTCTCATCTCATCCATGTCCCACTCTGCCCTGTTGGTAGAGTCATGCTTTCTCTTTGTTAAAGACTCCACAAAATAGTATTTCCATGCTCCTGTTTTCCTTGTTTTTTTGCTATATCAGGGTCATCTCCATCTCAGAAAAAGACTTCATTCCACAAGATTGTTAGGAAGCAAAAACTCAAAAAGGAGAGACCATTTGCAGGCGACAAAGGTGACGTTTGTGCATTATGAAGCAGGCTATTTAACAGATTCCTCAAACTGTTTTTGGATTTTTTTTAAAGTTCTCTTTGTCAAAAAGACTACTACACAAAAATGACCTCTTTAAAAACATAAAGAGCCATTATCTGCGTTAACAAGGTTGTAAAAAACTCAAATTATTAACTACATACGTTTAAGGTTGAACTGTTGAATGTATTCATAACAAATATTTATTGAAATGATCTTTTGAGGCCTGTGTGCCAGCCCAGCAATGGACTTTGGTATGGTAAAATCCAGATAAAACTAATACTGAAAGAAGAAGCTCAGAGGACTGAAACTCATTGGATTTTCATTTGTACCTCTGAATATTTTTTTCACAGTAGTGGTGCAGAGTGACTCCACGCTGGATTCAGCTTCAAAAGCCAAATCATGTACCCCCGTAGCCATAATGTGCCCGGATGTCCAGGGCAGCACAAGTATGGAGATGCTAGTCGGTAGCCAGAAGAGGAAGGCCAGGAAGACCAAGATCACACATTTGGTGCGCACAGCTGACGGCAGTGTTTCTCCAGTGGAGGGTGAGTGATGGACCCTCGACTGGTCGGGAGCAGTGGGATGCCTCCGTCTAATGTGTGAAGGCCTTTTCTTTGAACCAGATTGAGCTACAGCTATTGTTCTTATTATTGTAGTTTGCTCTTCTTTTATGAGCTGTACTTTTAGAACATCCTGTTTTAGAGAAAGTGGAACAGTTACTGTCGCTAGAGAGGAAGTACTTCTTAAAAATACCAAAATAGAGCTAAATGTCCAGTTGACAAACTAGTAACTAGTTATTGTGAATATTTACTTTTACTAGCAAGGCAAACAGTTGCATTATCCCTACAAAACAATCAATATAAAATGCTTTGCAACAGACTATTTTATGTTTTTGTTTGTTTGTTGTCACAGAGGATAAAACTCGGGACCTGAACCAGGAAGAGGATAAGAAGCCATTACCCCAACAGAATTTATGCAATGAAAAAGGTACCCACAGTAATCCGAAAGTCAAGGAGGAGGAAGATGACGAGGAGGCTGAGAGGAGCACCGCACCACAAGAGCTACCTGCTTTCTTCAGCCTGGCTGCCCTAGCTGAGGTAGCAGCCATGGAAAACGTTCACAGGTAGAGACACAGCTCGGCCTTATTACAACCCTGTTCAGTAGATTATAAAATATGCTGATATAGTCTCTCCCCTAGGTTTACAACTTTGCAGGAGTGGACTGACCGACAAGAGGGGGGGGGGTGTAATATAAAATAATAATATAAATGTGACACTTTCAATCCCATTTGTTAGGACATCATCACTTTTAATATAGCCAGTCATGTCTTTCACCGCTTCTCAGCAAGATCTTTTCTGTGGGGGACTCGCGTTTTTTCATAACCAACACCCCTTTAAGTTTCTAAGTCGCTGTGCAGCCCTTTGATTGCGCATTCTGGACCACTGTGAGATGGTTCGGGTCCCTTAATGGGACTACCTAAACTGTTCAGTTCAGAATGTTACTTCTTCAATTGAGCATGCCTGACAAGCTCTAAGCCCTAAACCTAAACAGATAGCCTTAAATGGAAATTGGTGAGATTTGAAGCATAATGGAGTGCCTCCAAACATGTTCGCAATAGATGTTTACAACATGCACAGAAGAGGGTTTACTGAATCTGACTTGGAAAGCAGAACAAACCTCAAAGAAAAAAATGAATGTGGTTTAACGTAGAAAAACTCAAGTGCTTCATGAGGCCTGTGTCAGTCCTCATCATGTCATCCTCACACATAGTAAATCCTTTCTCATCTTAAATGAAGAAAAAGAGCCAACGGCAGCGTTGTTCAGATTCCCTACATGGTTTAGTAAAACAAAACAAACTACCTAAAAAAAAAAGTGTCTTAAACTCTTCATTCACTTGGTCTTTCAGAGGCCAGAGAGGCTTGGCTGAGAATCCCAAGAAGGAGCTGGCCCAGACTCCAGTGCTCATCTCCTGCGCTGATCAGTGAAACTCTGCTGCTGTCATGAGAAGCAACGACATGGACATTGGCGGTGAAGCTTTGCTATCTACACTGAAGGGAGACCCGATCAGGAAGCGTTGGACCGACTCCATGTTACCTTTGTGGTGAATTTGCTTGAGCTGGGGTTCATGATAGGGGAGAGAAAGCCCCTCTCTTCCTCGCAATCTGTGTTTCCCCAGAGCGCCTTCCTTTGGTTTGAGTGAGGATGCCTTTCTTTTTTCCTCTCTCCCCCGCTAGATGCCCCGTTTGGGCCTGTGGAAGAAACATGCTGTATCCCAGTGCATGGCTTCCTGTGTAGAGATGGTTGTCATGGAATTATTGTACACAGTTTTGTCAAATAGAGGCCATTTTTAAGGTCAAGTCTTGCGATTTAAGAAATTATAGCGTTTTAGGTTTGCAAAAAACACTGCATTGGTTTTCTAGACAAACCGCTTTCTGTCACCTTTTTACCTCACGCACACGCCTACTGAAGAGCTCCCTCCACCCGGGTAGAAGACCTCTGTATTTGAATAGTTCTGATCCCTTGCATTCCTTCCAGCTTTGACCCAAAATGACTTTAGCCAGGGTAAATGATCGTGATGGATAGCCTTTCATCAACAACCCCTTGGTGAGTGTGTCTCACCCAAGGGGTTGAGAATTCATGGCTGAGTATTTGATATATAAGTTATGATGCTACTGTAAGACAGTTTTGGTAGATACAAATAATCATGTTAGACTTGATGTGTCAGAGTAGATTTGTGCAGACTTAGCATCTGAGCTTGAGTTTGCCAGAGCTGACCCTTTAGTAGTAGGTTCAGTGTCCTGTCAGGCTAAGGAGACCGTAGGTCGGCTTCAAAACGTCTCTGTGATGGGAAGTTGTGTGAAAGTGAATCAAATATAGCCTTAACCCGCTCACCCAGACCCCCATCCAGACATAGAAGCAGCTTCTTGCTCGACGTCATCACAGCCCTAAAGTCAGTGTAAACATTTTAAATAGTGAAATGCAGTTTTGTCAATACTTGATCTTATTGCAGTTTGCGTAGCAATTAGAAAGGTTAATTCCTTGTGTTATTTCATGGAATAGGTGTTTTTAATGACATAAACACTGCACTAACTTGTAGCTGAAGTTTAAGTTGCTCTCTGAAGGGTAATAGAATGCCTTGTCTCCACCAGTCAAGTGTTCCTCCACCATAGTGTCTTCAGGGCCTGTATGAAGCCAGTCTCAGGCGACGACATGAAAGCATGTTTGTCCATCCAAGTGGAATATTTTTGTCATGAATTATGTCTCATCAAATGAGCAATTCAAAATATAGAATAAAAAATCTGATTTTGTGCACAGGCAATATTGATTGAATGTGTTTAAATCAGTGGGCCATGCTATGGTTGCTCACAGAGCTAATGGAGACAAGGCATTTGATACCAAATTCCTCTTTTTTGTCCCATTGGCCTTTTGAGATTGTATTCCCGAGTAATGGTCTACTCAGAGGTCTCAGTAATCTCAGTAATGTTTTCATTGTTTAGAAGTATTTATATTATTTAGATGCAACTCTGTGTTCTTTATGTTTGGCTTTGTTTTGCTAATGCTTGGTCCAAGTCATTCCATTTCCATTTCCTTTGTCGTGACCACATGTTAATTTTTAGTGACCCATCTGTGGGAGTAAGGAAAATAAGGAAGGATGCAGTTTTGCTGCAGGGTTAGTCAGAAGTTGGAAGAGCTGCCACGTGCATGGAGGATTAGTGAGAGCTGATAGCCCCCGCCTCCTTTTGTTCCTCTGTGTAGACCAATACTTAATTTATCACATTTGAGATTCACATTTCTAACTTTTATAGCTCTTTCTTTTCTATTTAATCATTCTTCTCTTAACATGTCTGCATTTGTAATGCTCTTTTTACTAGGTCCTCTTTATGCTTTTCCTGAGGTCAAGTTTACTGGATTAAGAATGTTGTTAAAAAAAGATCAAGCTCACAGACGAGGAATGCTCCTACGCTTACATGCTAAGCAAACAGGCACTGAGAAGACATGCACAGTCTATACAGTGAGCTCGTCTCCTCACCTCTGGAGGGGTGTATTCCACTGCGACTGCATCACCGTTTCTTGGGTATATGTTAAGAAGTGTTAAGAGTCCTCAGACTCTTAACAATGGGACTGACAGATTAAAGGGTCTTGGAGAACTAGTGAATTTTAAAGGGGAATAGGTTTCCTAATATGAAGGCATTGTTACATGGTAATAATGTTTTGCCCATGTGTGCAAATGGTACAGTACATGCAACACATCTATAAATCCTGTCCAATTTTTTTCTTATTATCTCACAAACTAACTGCAAATGTTTCCCAGGTAAGCGTCATGCTTTACAATTATCCTAATAATAAATGGTATATCTATTTTTTTCAAATACAAGAAAAAGTAACATTAAGGATGATCCAAGCAGAAAATGTATACTTCTTCCACTGGTGGACATCAGTGTAATTCTTTGCAAAGACAAAGAAATTGTCTTCCCCACAAGATAGAGATATATTTGCTTATAGTAAGTGAGTTTAATGACATTTGCCAAAGAAAAGGGAAAGTTATATTCAAATGGAAATCTTGTTTTAAAATAAAAAATAAGAAGAAAGCTGGCAAACCAGTTCCACCTCATTTCCTTGGTGTGTCAATCTTCAGGTAAAAATATCAGCACAATTCATCCTGTGTGTCCAGTGGGATTTCCTTGGTGTTTGAGCTCAGAGTTGGAATGAAGTGCAACAAAAAGGCACCACTCAATGCCTCTTTTAATATTCAATATTTGCACCTTATGTCCCAAACCAAAATGATCATGGTCTTTAAAAAATATATCATTTTTACTCACTCAATGAAAATTATGCATTTTAACTCTTATATATGCGAGAATCCAGTCAATAACAAATCCACACATCAAACAGCCATAATATACTGTCATCTCCCATCCCTCACTTTTTCTATCTAGAAAAGGCTTCTATAAAGTGAAATTCCTATATTAGTTACCTAAATGACTATTATACCCTTTGTGCTAGTACTGTCTTCTTGAATGTAATCATTTTGTACCTGTATTTTTCTAATTCAGTCTTGATTGTACTGTATGTATGCTATGACGGTATACTCTTCCTTAGGTGCATAGTTCCTTACGATCGACAGTTCTCATGACAGGATAGCTGCTGTGCTGCGAACTCAATGGAAACGTGTGGAGGTTTAAGTCCAAAGGACTTCCTGTACTGTGTGAGCATCCATGACACTGATGACCATCCATGAAAGATTCTTGCATTTAGAGTGGTGGGACAAACATTTGCCCTGGTTTGCTACTTCTGTTTTTCCCCTTCGCAGTAGAAGTGAAAGTCGGATCACGACAGTTTATAAAACGAAGACGCTCCTGCACTCAGAACAATTGAATGCTTGAGTTTCAACTTATTTATTACTGTTCCTTTTTATAGATTTAGGTGAATAAAAATATTATAAAATATACAACTGAATATGCATCCATTTATACATGAACGTGTATAAAACAACCTACCCTTTACTAGAATGTAGATCATGGCTTCCTTTTTGTTTCTTTTTTTGTGACGAGGTTATGCCTGATCTTTAAAGTCTCTTTCCTCTGATAGTTTGTACAACCTGTGCTTAATCTAATTTATGCTACTGATGACCATCATGACAGCTGTGTTGTTTTGATTGTTACCGCCCAGTGGTTAAATGCAGCCTTGCCTTACTGGAACCCCTGCTTAGTGAGGGATCCCTCAGCCACTTTACCGCCCCCCACAACTCCTATGTCATAACACTGTTTGCTGATGCAACTATTATTCCTTTTACACTTTCTGCTGACGCAACTACTTCTTCTTGGACACCTATTAAAATAACATATATTGCATCTGTGTGAAAAGCTGTGTTGTTCATGCTGCTTTGTTGAGTGTTTGTTCTTCTCCCCTGTGGCCTCACTGGACGTAGGCTGTGGTGGAGTTTGAGCCCTTGAATTCACACCAACTACAACGTTGGTTTAAAAAGAACTTTGAGTAAATATAATTATATTGATATTGCAGAATGTCAAAAGTTGCATTATATTTCTTTACATATATCATATTTGCTTAAAATCTTGCAGAACCTAAACTTACATCTTACACTCCAACATCACACTATCCCATAGATGGGATGACCAAACCACAGCCCGCTGGCTCTTTTTAAATGGCCCTTGGGAAATTAAAAAAAACGATCTTGACTATGGCTCTAACGAATTGCATTGTGTATACATTATACATGCTAGTTTCAATACAGATGTCAGCTACATCTGGACATCAAGTCCAGTGAATGATCTTGAACCTCTTTGAACAGAAACCAATATTTACTTTGTGCGTGTTCGGTTTATTACTTGATTGTATTAGACAAATTTGTATCTTACATTGACATTGTAATCTTTTAAAGCTAGGGGTGGTAATCTTAAGAATTAAGATGTTGAATAAAAAAATATATCTATATCCAACCTAAAGACCCCGCTCGGTGTTGTCTACTCTTTTTTTATGAAAATAGTGAACAGCTGCAATAATGTCCGAGTCCTCAACTGACATCTTATCCCTCCACCAAAATGATAATAAAGGTAAACAAACAACATGGCTTCTGTTATTGTTTGCATTAATCCAGCAGCTCAGATTTTGTGCGGAATACACTATGGTAGACGTGCATTAAATGATTGGACGCGTTTATTACAATCCTGTACAGCCGCAGACCATATTTGCTTCCCCTTTCTTTATATTAGAGCATTGGATTCGTTGATTGTCAATACAAGCACAAAGCGCATTGACTGGGAGTCGATGTGCTGTCAGCGCCAGTAACCGGGTACCCCACGTGACTTTAGTGTCACATGACAACGCCCTCTTAAAGCTATTTTGCTGACGCTAAGAAAATGGCAGCGTTCTTGCAGTGGAGAAAATTCGTATTCTTTGACAAAGACACGGTGAAGGACCCTGTGGATAATGGGAAAAACTTTGTGCTTCCTAATGGAATATCGGCTTGTGACTCCGGCCGGGGTCACATTGTTCTCGGAGATATCCTTCTGACGAAGCACTGCTTAGCTAGGTTAGCTCAGCTAATGCTAGTACAGGTTAGCGCAGCAAACAGCAAACTTTTTAACTGAATAACTTAACCGTAACCATGCCAACGCAATGAAGACTACTCAGTACTGCCAGGCTAAGTTCCGGTTTCCAGTACTGTAAATGATGCCATTGACGTTCAACTCAACTGACTTGCTGTCAGCCAAACAAACAGGTACTCTGGTTTCCTTCCCCAGTCCGACCATTGGTGTAAAATTGTCCCCTGACTGGCGTCCAGGGTGTTACTCGTCTCATGCCTCATACTACCTGACACCCCTCGAAGGATAAACGGTATAGAAGATGATTGATCGACTGAATGGTCTCGAACCAGTTGGATTGAATTACTTAACTACAGTCATTAACATCAATAAATGCTTCATCTAAATAGTACATCCATACGTAAATGTCCTTAACTTCTACAATGTCACATATGGATGGCAAGATCTATCTGTTGACCCGCTCCCTGCAGTTGACATCTTTTCAGGCCTACAAGTTGCGGGTAACACATCTCTACCAACTGAGGCAGCACAGCATCCTTGTGTCAGTGGGACAGGATGAACAAGGAATAAACCCTCTAGTAAGTGATCGATTCCTTCCAGAAACCTAAAACACAAACTTTTTGATCGGACGACCCCTAAACTGAATCTGTAATTGTTTTTCAGGTAAAGGTCTGGAACCTTGAAAAGAGAGACAGTGGGAATCCTCTGTGCACTAGGATTTTCCCCGCGATTCCGGGTAACAAACCGACAGAAGTGTCTTGCCTAGGTGTACATGAAAACCTCAACTTTATGGCTATCGGTAAGACACAAAGAAAGGGTCTGCTCTGAGCCGTTTGACCCAGTAATGGCAGCTCGGCCTCCCAATTAATAATGGTGTTGTGTTACTTAACAGGCTTCACAGATGGCAGCGTGGTTTTAACTAAAGGCGACATCACTAGAGATCGTCACAGTAAAACTCTGACTCTGCACGAGGGAACCAGTCCAGTCACAGGCCTTGCTTTCCGCCAGGTGGCAAAGGTCACCCATCTGTTTGTTGCCACTCTGGAAACGGTCCATGTAAGTGTGAGCATCCTTGGATAATGTGACTTGTTCTATGACTCTGCTCTAGAGGCGGTCTGACCTCCTGTCCTCTCCATGCCAGTGCTATACCCTGTCTATCAAGGAGTACCCAAAAGTAGAGCTGGATACACACGGCTGTGCACTGGGGTGCTCCTCCCTAGCAGATCCCTCCCAGGACTCCCAGTTCATCGTGGCCGGTGAGGAATGCGTGTACCTGTACCAGCCTGATGAACGAGGGCCCTGCTTCGCCTTTGATGGACACAAGCTGTTGGCACACTGGCACCGTGGATATCTGTTTTTACTCAACAGGGATGCCAAGTCGTCCAACAAGTAAGGACACCGCTGAACAAATTTGATGATGATGTACTGGAAATCCTTTTATCTTCACCAACTAGACAACTTGTCTGCAGCATTTAGAGAGAGGAGTGGGGAAGTGTGAACTTCTGATGTGTTAGCCAGCTTACACAATGAGAGCCAGAACCAAACTGAGCTTTAATAGCTTCGGACAATAACAAATGCAGTGACATCAATAGAATATTCCAGCAAATCAAAGATGCATTATAATAACTTTACAGAAAGCTCAACAAAGGAAAGCTTCAGCAGAAGTTGTTGTGTTCCAAACATTTCCTTTGTTGAAATGTATTTTTTCTTACTATGGACGGCTCACGCCTCCAGTCTAGTGGCAAACGATTGGAACAGACAGTAATACTTATGAAGTGACGTTGGTTACCTAATCTTTTTCTCACATATTATCTTCCTCCTGCATGAGGAATGAATTGCAGTTCCTCTTCAATCAGTATTTGAAGGTCAGCAATACCAACCCTTTATTGTGCGCTCCATTGAACAGCATCATTTTTTAGAAATAGCGTCACTTTGCAATGAAACGGACCGTGGCTCTCCTCATTTTCATCTATAGGAATACAGTCTCACTGATTGCTCTTCTACTCAGGACAGAATTTGGTAGCAGCTCTCCATCAGACAAACAGCTTCTTACCATTTATGACCTGGACAACAAGTTCATCGCCTACAGCGCCTCTTTTGATGACGTCATAGACGTGGTGGCAGAGTGGGGGTCCTTCTACATCCTCACCAGAGATGGAAGAATGTCTGTTCTTCAAGAGAAAGACACACAGACCAAACTGGAGGTGGGTGCAGAGTAGGGGGCACCTCCTGCACGTGGTAGTTCCTGACATGCACAATCAGGATCGGTAATGATTGAGTCCCTTTGTTCAGTAAATACAATCACTGGAACTGTGATCAGGAGTCCTCCTTGTTTCTCCCTTAAGATGCTGTTTAAGAAGAACTTATTTGTGATGGCCATAAACCTTGCTAAGGGCCAGCATCTGGACAGCGACGGGCTGTCGGAGATCTTCAGACAGTACGGTGATCACCTTTACCTAAAGGGAGATCATGACGGTGCCATTCAGCAGTATATCCGGTAATGGTTGTCTTTTTCCAAACTTATCTTACAATGAATGTTAAATGTATCTTCACTGGTTGAACAGGTGGGTCAGAAATCTACATGACAAAAGTAAAGCGCACAAATCTTCTAATCATTCACAAATTGTTTTAGTCATGTTTTCTATTGGATAAAAATGAAACCGCTGTCTCCAGGATAATTTAGCCTAATACATCTAGTCTTTACCTGCTGGCATTTTCTCTTGAATGTGCAACTATTATCAGAGGTGAAAAGGAAAGCTTTCTCTCCTCGACCACAAAGAAACATGTGTTTTATTCCTCTTTATGACTTGCTAGATGTTTTAGTCCAGGGGTCTCAAACTCCGGCCCGCGGGCCACATCCAGCCCGCTGGGGCATCTGGTGCGGCCCGCCGGGAGCTACTGACTTTGGCGCACCCCTCCGTCCACCATACTGCTCGCCGTTTTGACCGTCAGCGCCGTCGACCGTACCGTTCGCCACAGTGATGAGTTTGTGCTTCTGGTTCATTGTCAATGTCACTTAATTTGTTGAAACATCCCTTTCCCACAGCACCATTGGGAAACTGGAGCCGTCATATGTCATCAGGAAATTCTTGGATGCGCAGAGGATCCACAACCTGACAGCATATCTGCAGGCCCTGCACAGACAGTCCCTAGCCAACGCAGACCACACCACACTGCTGCTCAACTGTTACACCAAGCTGAAGGACAGCTCCAAGCTGGAGGAGTTCATTAAGGTGACCGACCATTATGAGTAAGAGGATGTTGCTTACAGTGATACTAATGGGAATGGAAAGAAACTGCTGTTTCGCGTGTGTGTGTATGTATATGTATGTATGTATATATATATAGAGAGCGAGTGATATATCCCTTATAGTTTAAAGCCTATATAAAAATGACTGCCATATTATGACACCCGTATATGTATTTGAACAGAGCAATGAAAGTGAGGTCCACTTCGATGTTGAGATCGCCATCAAGGTTCTTCGGCAGGCCGGCTACCACAGCCACGCTGTGTTCTTGGCAGAGAAACACATGCACCATGAATGGTACATGAAGATCCAGCTGGAAGACTTAAAGGTAAATAGACATGCAAATAGCAACCAATATAAGTGTCATAGCACTGCTTTTGCCTTAGCCGAGCATGTTTGGCAGAGCACCTTGAGCGCCGTGTACAACCAGTATGGATCAACTAATTAACCAATTGATCCATATATATAAGGCGCTCCGGATTATAAAGCCTAGTTTATGGTTCTGCGTTTTCAGAGCGACGCAGACGCAAGACCCCCTTGAGTGTCCCTTGCGTACCCTTTCACACCTCCTTGCGTGTGTCGAGCCATTTTTCTAGGCTTGCGTCGCTTTCGACACAAGCGACGCAAGCTTCTCGCAGCACACAAGGCTGCGATTGGTCTGCTAACTACATCCTTTACGGAGTCTCACATTTCCGTTTTCATAGCCCGATACCGCCATTATTAAAACGAAGAATGTTTACGAGAGGACGGATCAGATTGAAGAACTTTTGTCGGAAGAAATGCGTAAATATGACCGCTTATACAACCCGTAATTGGCGGGTTGTAGAAGCGGGTTGGATTCATGGAGGGAGATCGCCGCAAACGCCGGTTTCGAGAGGTGCACAAAGTTGTGGAGGAACATACGGGACAAATGTGTCCGCGATGAAAAGCAGCAGTGGCGATGCACGGGGCAATAAAGTCTATGATAAATAAATAAACAAATAAATAAATAGACGTGACTCTCTAGGTTGTCTTCAACAAAACACGTTACTCCGCCTGTTGTTCTGGCGGTAAATTGCTCTGCAACACACGCAAGACTTTTAGAACCATGAATTCAAACGAGTGCGACGACGCAGACGCATGCGCCAGCCTTAAGGTGCACTGTTGTTTTTTGAGAAAATTAAAGGCTTTTAAGTGCGCCTTATTGTGCGGAAAACACGGTAGTCCAAAATTCAACCCAGTGCACCGGGTGTACTGGGCAACTGTATTGGATTGAAATCAGTTTACTGTAACAAGTGGGGGCAGGCCCCCCTCGCTCATCATAGTCCTTACTTAGGGCTTCAACTGCCAAATGTACAGTCTTTATCCATTCAGAACATTTGTATCTCTCTTTCTCTCATAGATACATAAAGCCAACAATGTTATTCAACATGTGAGCATTTTCCGCATCTTCATAGGGTTTTGCTCTGATTCCCTCCTAAACCTAGAATTACCAGGAAGGGCTGCGCTACATTGGACGTCTGCCTTTCGAACAAGCTGAGAGCAACATGAAGCGTTACGGCAAAACACTGATGCACCATGTCCCCGAGGGTACCACGCTGCTCCTGAAGGGATTATGCACCAACTACCAACCCAGCACAGACGCTACTGAAAGAGACAGCCTGGATAGGGGTCGGGCCAACAAGGTCAGTCTGCAGCACTTCTGTTTCCTTTGTGTTCATCGTGCTGTGATATCTCTGTGGACCAGACTGATCCTACAGGGTCGCAAATCTTCTTTTAACTGCCTTTCCATGTTTGGTTCATTTAAAGGCCAACTCTGAGGAATTTATCCCAATTTTTGCCAACAACCCTCGAGAGCTGAAAGCCTTCCTGGAACACATGATGGACGTGGACTCTCGCTGTCCCCAGGGAGTGTATGACACATTGCTGGAGCTCCGCCTACAAGACTGGGCACACGAACAGGACCCTGTGGTCAGTGCCTCACATGCAAACTATCAATTAATAAGCGTGTGTGTGTGTGTGTGTGTGTGTGTCATATATATATAATATTAAAAAAATCAGAAGGCTTTGGAGGATTCAGCTTATCAAAGGATGTCTCATGTGAACTAGTCTTTGTTACGCATTTGCTTGGAAGAGGAAAAAGGTCCTGCAGGGGGAAGCGGTGTCCCTCTTGAGAAGTGACAGCACGGTGTTTGATAAGGCCCTGGTCCTCTGCCAGATGCACAACTTCAAAGAAGGCGTCCTCTACCTTTATGAGAAGGGTAAACTGTAAGTGACAGATTAATATGCATGCGTGTACCTATATATAAATATCTATTGACCATGATTTGCATACACTGTGCAGGTACCAGCAGATCATGCACTACCACATGCAGAATGAGGAGTACGGGAAAGTGGTTGAGGCCTGTCAGCTTTATGGGGATCAAGAGGGTTGCCTATGGGAGCAGGCATTGGGATACTTTGCCAGGAAAGAAGAGGACTGCAAGGCCTACATCAGTGAGGTCCTACATCACATTGACCAAAACAACCTGATGCCTCCATTACTCGGTGAGCTGCTGGGTGCTTTACGTAAATGCTGCATGGGTTTTGAGATTTCTTTTCAGGAGCATGTTGTTTTTGAAAGAAGCCCAGTATTACAGCCATGTTTTTTCTGCTGCCACAGTGGTGCAAACACTGGCGCACAACTCCTCAGCCACTCTCTCCGTCATCAAGGACTACCTCATCAACAAGCTGCAGAGGGAGAGCCAGCAAATTGAGGATGATGAGCGCAAAATCTGCCAATACCGCGAAGAAACAGCCCATCTTCGCTCTGAGATCGAGGAGCTCAAAACCAGGTGGGCCACGTGAATGGTGGAAACATTCATAGACTTACCTTTTAGACCAGTATATCTCCAGTGGGGTATTGGGGGAAAACTGGAATTCTTTTAGAGCAAACCTGGTGAATACAGCGGGGGGGCAAATCCCTTTGTAAAAGTGGCGTCAGTAACCAACAAAGCACAACTGGTTTCACATACAAAATTGTGCATTGCATGAAAGCGCACACCATCACCGAGGAGCTCAGACTCCCCGCATATTGATGACACATACAGACACAATAAGAAATCTTTTTGCACATTGGTTGTTGGAAGACCTAACGGTTGGTTGTTCTAACTAAATGATTGCACATTTTATTTTTATTTTTTTCCGATGGAGCAATCAGGTTTATTTGAAAGTGATTACAATTGTCTTCACTCTATTATTTAATAAAAGATGTGAGAAGCAACAAATCAATAAAAATTCAACATGAACCGTTTTTTGTTAGAATTTTGTTTTAACTTCCTTTCTTTTCCTCCAAAGTGGGGCGTGACAGAAAAAGTTGAGAACCACTGCTTTAGATGGCCGGGGTATATTATCATTCCCAAGTATTTCACTTCTACCTGTTTCTGCTGTCCCGTCGTGCTCATTCCTTCTGTAGCTACTTGTGCTTATGTGATGTGCAGAGGTCCTAGATTTCCCAATGTGACTGTAAATCTTTGGATTTCTACACAGTGCCAAGATATTCCAGAAGACCAAGTGTAACATGTGCAACAGCCCTCTGGAGCTGCCGTCTGTTCATTTCCTGTGCAGCCATTCCTTCCACCAACACTGCTTCGAAAACTACGCTGAGAGTGAGGCAGAGTGCCCAACTTGTACTCCCGGGAACCGCAAAGTCATGGACATGCTGCGTGCCCAGGACCAGAAACGTGACCTGCATGACCACTTCAACAGACAGGTGACCATACTTGAGCTTTGACTGGAAGGAAGTCAATCAAAAACAATAGAAGATGGAATGTTGGAGTTAAAGTTCTTGTGTCTGCTTTTCAGTTACGCAGCTCCAATGATGGTTTCTCGGTCGTGGCTGACTATTTTGGTCGAGGAGTGTTCAACAAACTGACTCTGATCACCGACCCACCTGGCAGCAAAACTGGGAGCCTTGAAGTGAATCTGCAGAGAGACCTTCTCATCCACACCAAGAGAAACTGCTGAAAAGATCCGCTACCTACCTGAGCTGGCACACAAGGACAGCCTCTCCACCTTCCCGCTGGCATGCCACTTTGTTTGGCAGCTGTCATGGAACTATTTGCACTGTGCTACTTGTTGTGTATAACTGGGAATGTATAAATGTGCTTAAGTCGAAACTAGTAATACTGTGTCTGCAGCCTTGCTGAAGTACTTTTGACACTTTTGATGTGTCTGCTCGTAGTGATCATTAACATATATTCCCCTGTAAACCTCAACAGTCTGTCTCTCATTGAAGAAATGTTTGCATGTTAACTTGAAGAATTCACGGTCAGATTGAATAAAATCATGTCATGGTTCTAATGATGAACTTCAAGTCCTAATTCTGAACCTGTTTCATAATACCTTTTTAAAATAACATGCTCTATTGGGAAAAACGAATAGCGTTTAAGAAATATGCATTAAGTTTGCTAAAATCAAGGGAGTAAATAAACTGTTAATAGTAACTAAATTAAAATTGATTTCAAGGACGCATGCATTCACTTTACTTGGACGTGTCGTCATTAAATATACGCCCACTATCTGGACGTGGCCCAATTGACATTAGACAGAAGTTTTTCGACGTCACTCTTCTCACGTGGACCAATCCCGGTGCAGTGCGTGGAGAGATGGGCGGGTCTGGATTGGGGGGGTGCGCCATTGCCGATTCTTGCTTAAGGCATAAAGAAAGATTAAGTGCATTACCGGGGACAATGTATTTTACCTTTCAAAACAAGAGCACATACAATTATCTTAGCCAATGCCAGCACAGTGAATACTGAGCGTTAGCCCTTTTATAAGACCTTTGCTGTGATTATGAAATTATATAACGTTTTTCTACAAGAAAAAAGGCAGTTATCGCAGTATATACCTTTCCCTTTGTCTGTTCGATTTTAGCTAATTTAATTGTATCAATACGAATGGGCCTCAATTATTTTTAGGATTCCACTGCCCTGTATATTCCATTTTAAAATGCATTACATCAATGCGTTAGAAGCCTATTTGCCGTTATTAATTTTGAATTAAAGCCCGATAAAAATAAGTAGGATTATGCTTCGTTGCGTTTTGCGTTTAGCTGCTAACCGGAAACAGTATGTTTGGTTACTATTAGCTTGATAAAACGTTTTCTCCCAGCAGCACCATCAGTTGATCCAATGAGGTGACGCCGCGTTCCGGGCCCGGTAGCTGAGAGCGAGCCGGTGATAAGGGGAACAGAAAACGGAAAACGTGAGAGTCAAAGAGGTTCTGAATCAAAGACAGATAAGGGAAGCTAAGCTAAGAACCCCCCGGAAAAGCACAGTCGACACCTGCATTTGTGTTCGGGATAAGGTGAGTTGGGTTGCTGCCTCAGCACAGTGCGTCAATCATGCGTTCGTTGGATGGTTGTTCAAGTGAGCTAACGTAAGCTAACATTAGCTGTCAACTTCTCCTCCTGCTGCTTCTAGTTCCGCTGGCTTTGATCCGAAAGGTCCAAACATGGTCCACGTTGTCCAGATGCGTTTGAGTAGAACCGTTTATGATAGTACTCTAAGCAATGCATATTGTATCCAACTTTTCCGTAAGGGGATACGTTTTCTAACTTAATTCACATCAGCAGCTTTTCTTCCATCCAAAAGCTGATTTTGAGTAAGTTTTTATTACATTGAGGTTTTCAGTGCATCCATTTCGCATGCATGCGTCACTGTATCACTTGTGCAACACACACGCTTCCTGATGTGTCTTGCTGAAACACGCGCGCACACACACACACACACACTTTTCTGGTCTTCATGTCATTCTGAATTTCTTGCTTCAGTTTAGATTTCCACCATTGAACATGAGAGCCATACTTCCCTCTGAGTGCGGAGTCACTCCTGTGTAAATATTAAAGCTTTAGACAATGGTGTTAAGGCCACATGTTTGGACCAGTCCACACCTATTATGGGGGGGTCAGGTGCATTCACTGCTTTGAATATTCTTAGCCAAATAGCACTACCTGTCAGTGGCACTGCTTCAGGTTACAGTAATCATATTAGCACGGAAGAACCTTGACAAAACCTATGCAATGCTTAGGCAATTGTCTAAGGATAGATGTATAATTATATCCAGGTGTCTGTCTGTGGTCAAGCTGTATGAAACTTGCTTTTCAACCGCGACGTCCTCATACTCCCACATCATGAGTGAAAGGGACAACAACTGGACTAAAATGTTATTTTCAGGGCAGGCGGCAGTACAATGAGGAGTAGGGGATTAAAGGTGTTCGGTAGTGATGGTGGTGTGTGATCAGGTTGTCACACACGTAGGACCCTGTGAATCCAGTTGATTCTGACGTTAACTCTGTTCATCATACAGCTCATCATGGAGCGGAGGATGCTGGCGCCGTTTCTTCTCTTCAGCCTTGTTCTGGCCATGTTGCCCTCTCGCACAGGTAATGTGATCTATGAACGTATTTGCCTAGAAACAAGCCCTGGTGCTCGTGCTGACAAGTGCTTTCAACCGACCGATTACGCTGTTAACGACACGCAGGCCGCTTAGCACCGCTCACCAATCGATAATGCAATTCTTTGATTTAGTGTTCGGTCTTTATGTAACCCGTCTTGGTGTCTGCAGTGACTGTCGCCGTCATGTCCATTGACCTGGGCAGTGAGTGGATGAAAGTTGCGATAGTGAAACCTGGTGTGCCGATGGAGATCGTTCTCAACAAGTGAGTGTTTGCCCTCATCAATGGTACAGTGAACATACACGCTTGGCTCACACCCACAAGAAAACCGAGCGAAAGTACATATCAGAACTTAAAAGAATGTCTGCTTTTTTCTTCTTCAGGGAGTCGAGGAGGAAAACCCCCACGGCTGTATGTCTGAAGGAAAATGAAAGATTTTTGGGAGACAGTGCCCTGGGAATGGTACACTATCTATTCCTAATTCCACAGTTCAAATGACATCAAACTATGTTGTGCTTATGTTAATAATCTTCCCATATTGGATACGTTTCAGTCTGTGAAGAACCCCACTACTGTTTATAGACACCTGCAAGGCCTCCTGGGCAAAAAGTACGATAACCTGCAGGTGGCGCTCTACCAGAAACGGTTCCCTGAGCACCAGCTTCTGGAGGACCCAGTGAGAGGCACAGTCTACTTCAAAAACTCTGAGTGAGTCTCTTTACACCGTTTCCCAGCATACACAACAATACGTTCCTGTAAAATATTTTAACCTCCCAAGTCCTACGGGTGCTGTGTCTGTTATTCACTTTCTACACAGTGTGTAAAGTAAAATAGTAATGCTTTTCACCTCACTGATGCTGTGTGGACTGGGACCTCTAATCTCTTCTGTGTTTGGCTCTGCCAGAGAAATGCAGTTCACACCTGAGGAGCTCCTTGGGATGCTGCTCAATTATTCTCGTGGACTCGCTCAGGACTTCGCAGGTCAGTTGGCCTTCAGAAGAAGATGCATCAGTGTATATTTAAATATGCAAAGCATGTATTCATTCCTTCCTCCCGCTTACAGAACAACCAATCAAAGATGCAGTGATCACAGTCCCGGCCTTCTTCAACCAGGCAGAGCGCAGGGCAGTCCTGCAGGCTGCACAGATGGCGGGTGTAAAGGTCCTTCAACTCATCAACGACAACACCGCTGTGGCCTTGAACTATGGGGTGTTCAGGAGAAAAGACATTGACAACACTGTTAAGGTGCCTCTTCAGCATTACTCCCAAGTACATGTTAAGGATCATTCTGGTGGAATTCTATGTCCCTCTTGTCAACTCATCCATGTACATAAGTGTGCAAGAGTGAAGCTAGTGAGTCTAGGCTGAGACGTGTCTCTGATTATAGTGGAGCTCGAGTATGTGGTATGCCACCTGCTCAGTGGAGCTTGCAGCTCAGAAGTTGGAGCGCCACAGTAGATGGGGCTTATGCATAAGATTCCAGAGTATCTTTCACTGTAAGAAGATGAGCTCCTGTGAGTGACTACACATTGCTTAAAGTCTGATATGTTCCCTTTTCAGAATGTGATGTTTTACGACATGGGCTCAGGCAGCACCACGGCCACCATTGTCACCTACCAGACAGTCAAAACCAAGGAGGCTGGCACACAGCCTCAACTACAGATCCGAGGGGTCGGGTGAGTCCAGGCAGAGAGGGAGGGGGTCTTTTTTATATAAAAAAAAACTTTTTTTTTCTTTTGAAATAAACTGTTGACAGATTTACTGTTAATGAAAAACTACAACCAAACTAGTTGATGCAGAGAAACGACACATCATAAATTGAGAAGCAGAGTGTTTTCCCTGACTGAAAACAGGAGGTCCTCCAGACCCCAAGTGTCCACAAAGAGTTGTCCACAAACCAAACTCTGCCCAGCAGCCCCGTCCGCATCAGACTCGCGTCCTCTGACCCTTCATCCCGCACACGGTCTTTCCTTGTTTTCCAAATGACTAGTTTGGACATTCCTGAAAAGAAATTGATTAGTACACGCATCTGTCTTTTCCTAGCAGAGTGCGGAGTTTTCCTAGCAGGGGCAGTAGAGAAAGAAGTGTTCACCTAAGCCAGTGCTATCCAAACTAGGGTGCTGAACTACAGGGTGTGCAACGCACAGGCACAGAGAGACACACTGCTGGACCGAATGTAGATCACCTGCACCGGGTGTAGGATGGAGGTCTTCACCAGGTGACGAAGCTTCATACAGCCAGCCTCTCTTACTCTGGATTTGAGGCTGGGACGTGATAAAGCTGCCTCCACTGGTACAGCCCCCAGCTTGGGGTGCCCCCATAATGAAAGCACCTGATGCTACCCGTGTTAGCGTACATCATGTAGTGCCTCTCTCCGTGTTTCACCATCAAGGAGACCTTTAGCGCCTGTAATGGAACAGGTTAGGAACATGAACACCGATTCCCGTGAAGTACTGGACATACTTCAGCTTCTCGCTCTTGGAGCCTAGCCCCACAGCCTGGATGCCACTCACTAGCGTGCGCCTGGTTGGGGATGAACGGGGGAACACCTGACTCAGTGACCTGCATAAAGGGCACTGTGAGCGGGGACACCTGCAGGTACATCGTGTCCAGCGACACGCCGCTCGCTCAGTCTGTCAAGAAAAGGATGGAGAGAATGGACGGATCATGTCTAACTGGGTTTTGTGGTGTTATTCTGTCCTTATTTTTCTTATGTAAGAGCTTTAAAATCCACAGATAAGACCACCTGAGGCTTTGAATAGAAAAGAGAGCACATTTTGACTCCCCCTAAACCCATGTCCTCAGTCTAAGGTAATATGTCCTGTTCTGGCTGTAGGTTTGACCGTGGGCTGGGGGGCTTTGAGATGGACCTGCGTCTCCGCGACCATCTGGCCAAACTGTTCAACGAGCAGAAGAAGAGCAAGAAGGATGTGAGGGAGAACCAACGGGCCATGGCCAAGCTCCTGAAAGAGGCACAGAGGCTCAAGACAGTGCTCAGTGCAAACGTGGATTTCATGGCCCAGGTGAGTCCAGGCATTTGAAACGGCAGGACTCAGACCAGCTGGAAACACGCACGTTATCCACAATTTAAGGACATTTTCAAAATCTTTAATTATTTCAAGCAGTTTGAATTGTCTGGGTACTGCCATGAGGAGTCGGGACAGTGAATATTTGTTTGTTTGTTTTCTTCCAGGTGGAGGGTTTGATGGATGACATCGACTTCAAAGCTAAAGTGACACGGACTGAGTTTGAGGAGCTGTGTGCCGACCTGTTTGAGAGAGTGCCGGGTCCGGTTCAGGAGGCTCTGACCACGGCAGAGATGAAGCTGGTCCGTGTGCTCAGTTCATGTGTCTAGACGCCTCGTCCTGTTGGTCACGGCTCCCCTGTTGTGTGATACTGATGATGTGGTACTATCCTGCAAGATGGTGTTTATTGAGCGTGTATTCTTATTTGCTGCTGTTGATGATGCTGGTTGGTTAGTTCACCTTTGCTTTGTCAATTTTTACCAATGTTGGACAACATAGCACTATTCTAATCCATATTATAATTGTGTTGAGTGGCACTAAAGCAAAACTCATTTTAGAAAAAACCTGTTTAGTTCAATTGCATCTCAAGTTGGGTGGACGAATGAAATATGAATTGCTTCTGGAGTATGAATGAATGAATAATTGAGTGAATGTCTGTTCTTATTTCTGCCCATAGGAGGAAATAGAGCAGGTGATTTTAGTCGGTGGCTCTACCCGTGTCCCCAAGGTTCAGGAGGTGCTGCTCAAAGCTGTGGAGAAGTAAGTGTCAATCACTAGTGTATGAAATACCTTTCACTTGCCATTAAACCTAAGCAAAAATCTGTTATGTGAAGACCTACTTTAGAGCGAGACAGAGGAACTGAAATACACATGCTATCTGCGGTGGAGGTGCAGTAAACCTTCCCCATCAGGAGGAGTAATGGATTAAAGGCCACTGAGGCTCTCCAGTTTGCCAATCAATGTTCTTTTTCTCTCTCCTAACGCGGGCCTCCTCCGTGCACATGTAACGTTGCGTCTGTGTGTGCAGGGAGGAGCTAGGGAAGAACATCAACGCAGACGAAGCAGCAGCCATGGGTGCAGTGTACCAGGCGGCGGCCCTCAGCAAGGCCTTCAAGGTCAAGCCTTTCCTGGTGCGAGACGCGGCAATCTTCCCCATCCAGGTCAGTGCCTGAGTCAGCATGTCATCCCTTTGGATGCATATGCAGTCTTTTTAATTTACTGGACTAAAATCCATATAGGATGCATCAGTGTTTCCCACAGATCCAACGTCGGAGGGAGAGCAGGGAAAGGAAATGCAGCTGAACGAATATGCTGCATGATTTAAATAGCGTTAAAAAAATGCAATGTGTTGCGGCCGGTGTTGAATCTGTGGTGCACCGCCATCAATTAGTCTGTGGGAGACACTGATGCATTGTTGAGCTACAACATCAGCTGGTCAAATAAGTCCTGAATCGATCTGTTAACAGTCATTTAACCCAACAGGTGGAGTTCACACGAGAGACGGAGGAAGAGGGGTTGAAAATCCACAAACACAACAAGCGCGTCCTCTTCCAGAGGATGGCGCCCTACCCCCAGCGCAAGGTCATCACGTTCAACCGCTACAGCGCTGACTTTGCTTTCTACATCAACTACGGCGACCTCAGCTTCCTGAGTCAGCATGACCTCAGGTTAGTTAGCTACGTAAGTGGTGTTAATGACATCGCCGGACGGCTGGTAGTAATCCACTACCTTAAAACTCTGATCCACATTGTTCTTCTCACTCGCTGTGTTCTGTCATGATGTGAATGTAAGCCCCCTTTCCTCTCCGACTGTGTTCCACAGTGTGTTTGGCTCTCTGAACCTGACCACAGTCAAACTGTCTGGAGTGGGCGACAGCTTCCAGAAGCACACAGATGCAGAGTCGAAAGGCATCAAAGCCCATTTCAACATGGATGAAAGTGGAGTGCTGCTGCTGGACCGAGTCAGTAACTAGTCCCCTAGCTCCTTTTTTAGTTTTACCCTTCTGATATTTCAGACTTCCAAACAGTACATGTATGTGTGGTTACATAAACGCATACGGAGCATGAAACACAGTCCGGATGTCAAATCAACTTTTTTTGAGCTCGAATAATCACTCAATTTTAACATTTTGATTTGTATCCGATTTTAATATAGTATTTTCACCCACAGGTGGAGTCTGTGTTTGAAACTATTGTGGAAGACAAAGAGGAGGAATCAACATTAACTAGTAGGTTTTGGTCTGATGTGCACTTTATGAAGATTATTTTCTCATATCAACCATCTATAATATAGATGGTTGATATGAGAAAATAATGATCATATAGATTCTATATGATCATTGGTACACCTGGATGTCATTTTCAAAAGGTTGTAAACCGTCTGTTTTATTAATATGTATTGTGTCCTTTGGGTGTTAGGGTTAGAAGTTCATCGTGAATGAATAGTACTGCGAATCAGCATTGTGTCAAACACAAGGCCCTATAAGCACATACACATCAGAACAGTACTATTTGATGATCATTTAACTCTGTAAAGTGCTGCATTTTTAATGTGTAATGCGATTACTGACTTGTGTACTTCTCAAGGAAATGTTGCAGGGTAACATGTGCTCTCTTTCAGAGCTGGGTAACACCATTTCCACCTTGTTTGGAGGAGGATCATCGGAACCCTCCTTGAATGCAACTGAACCTGTCCAGGTAATTGTAACTCATGAGTGTCCTAAGTGATGGTCACTGTGGACCATCACTTAGGAAGGGCCAGGTGCATGTTTACTATCCATTTACAGATTTCACACTGCAATATCTTCCACAACATGTCGTTGATTGTAGCTAACATCGTTTCCTGATGTCTTGTGTCCAGGATGAGGAGGAAGTGCCTCCAGAGTCTGAAAAGGACGGCAAGGAGGAGGAAGGTAAAGCTGAAGGCGAGAAGGAAGAGGCTGCCAAAGAGAAGCAGGAAGAGGCAGAGAAAAGTGCAGATGAAGAGACTAGTCAGGAAAAGACGGAGGAGACTGGTAGCAAGACTGATGCCAAGGTCAGATCTGTTCCTCATACTCTGAGAAAGTCTACATTTTGCACAGCACTTGGTGAAATTCAATATTGAAAAAGAAAAAGCGACAGTGTTGAAAGTAACCGCATTTGTACTCTTAAAGGAGGAGGATGGAGAAAAATCTGTCAACGCGGAGGCGGAGAAGGATGCAGAGAAGGATGCAGAGAAGCAGACCAAACCTCAAAAAAAGAGCAAGATTGCTGAAGAGATCACAGTGGAACTCGTCATCAACGACATCCTGGACCCCACGCTTGATGATGTCACTTCCTCTAAGAAAAAGTAAAGCAACAAATTCTATTTCTTTCGGTTTGTTTTGGTGCGCATTATTTTATGCCTATGCTTTGGTCCTTGTACCTTTTTCAGACTGCAAGATTTGACAGACAGAGACCTGGCGAAACAGGAAAGGGAGAAGTCCTTGAACAGTCTAGAAGCATTTATATTTGAGACGCAGGTGAGCAAATTCCTTTCAGGTTTATCCGCTTTCTCTTTTTTTTTTTTTTTTTTTTCTTACATTAACCCCTGCTGTTAACTAACCAGTGTAAGAGGGGGGGAAATGGTATGGCATCACAATCCCACCCAATACTTTTGTTCTTCCTCCAGGACAAGCTGTACCAGGAGGATTACCAGCAGGTGGTGTCAGAGGAGGAGAAGGAGCAGATCTCCTCCAAGCTGAGTGAGGCGTCCGAGTGGATGGACGAGGACGGCTACGCGGCCACCACAAAGCAGCTGAGAGAGAAGCTGTCTCAGCTCAAGAGCCTGTGCAAGGACATGTTCTTCAGGGTGGAGGAGCGACGCAAGTGGCCAGACCGCCTGGCTGCTCTGGACAGCATGCTCAACACCTCCAGCTTCTTCTTGAGGTGAGGGTGGAAGGGAAGGAGGACATGTGGGTCTGCTGTTGTGGCTCTGCACTTATGTAAAGACTCATTTCTTTTTCTTTCTTTTAAAGGAGTGCCAAACTTATCCCAGAAGATGACCAAATCTTTACTCAAGTTGAACTGAATACGTTAGAGAAAGTGATAAATGAAACGGCGGTAAGTGGTTCTAAGGTTCTAGATGGCCAACTCACTCATCTCCATAACCCCCGATCATGATGTTATTGATTGTTACTGATTTATTGTCCTGAAGACTAAGGCATCTTTTGTTTTGAAATAAATCAAATGCTCTGACAGAACAAGAAACAACTCCTGTGACAGGACCAGGACAATCTTTTCATTCTCCCTGTTTTTCACTAGATATACCTACTTTCGCTAAGTGCTGCTAGCTCCTTTCATAGGGAAGAGTTGGCAACACTGGCCCGGGTCGTAAGGTTGGACACTTTTTTTTTTTTTTTTTTAAGAAATCTTGAGCAGTCTCCAACCTACGAACGGTCCCTCTAGGCTCACTGTATACAATGAGAAGTGTTTCTTTAAGCAGACTAATTCTCATTGTATTGAATGAACTGAGCTTCAGGTGTCAATTTGTTTTCGGCTCCTACAGAAGTGGAAGAATGAAACTGTCGCAGCGCAGGAGAAAAACTCTCTGACGGAGCGGCCCGTCCTGTTGTCCAAAGACATCGAGTCCAAGCTGACTCTTCTGGATCGAGAGGTGAACTACTTGCTCAACAAGGCCAAGTTCGCTAAACCCAAAGCTAAAGCCAAAGCCAAGAATGGCACCAGCTCTGGTAAAAGCAGCAAAGGTAACAACACGGAGGACAAAGTCATCCCTCCCACAGAGGAGAGCACCGACACAAAGACTGGTAGGTCCACAACAGAACTCCATATATGAGCTGTAATAAGGGCTAAAATAACTTTTCATGTATGCTTTCATCAAATACAGAGAACTCTGAGGAGGTGCAGCCAGGCCAAGCGCCGCCCACTGAAGAGAGCACTGAACACACAGGCTCAGACAGCCAATCACAGCCCACAGAAGAAACCAAAACTACAGGTCGGTCTGCCACACCTGTTGCCGATGATGCCAGGGAACTTTAGGGCCTTGACAAAATGTTTGAAACGCATTCAACGTGATCCAATAATATCTCCTCTGAACAGAATGAACTCGTTGACTGACTCCAATGGAACATTAGAGTACTGTTGTAATGGATTACATTGTTACAGCAGAAAGTAACAATGTAAAGTCCAGCAATGAGCTCATCCCTCCTCCAGTGCTTATTTTTCTTATATGATTTGTAGAATCTGCTGTAAAAGCTTCCCATGGTTCTCATCTTTCCCTGAGAGAACCTTAGGGAGACACAGAGCGTCCTTTTTCCATTCTTTTATGAATAAGTTGATCTTTACTGCAACTCTGATCTCCCCTGAAAAAAGTAGATTTTTTTTTTTTTCCTCAAACAACGATAATGTGTGGGAGACACAATAAGTACTGGTTAACTTCCAGTGATCTGTTCCCTTTCTGGACATCAAACAGTGATAACCAGTTATATATTGGGTTTCTATTGCAATAATAAATCCTGTAACAATGTGTCAATGTATTACATTCTTGTTTCACTGACTTCTCAGATGTGTTATGTAATTACCCAAGTGGCTTTGCAAAAGCGTGCGTACATGGCTGGTTGAAGGAACGTATTCTCTACAGAGCTGCTTCTCTGCACTCATAACGTAAGCATCGATCGACATACACACAATTCATTTCCTTCTCTGTCCTCTTTCCAGCACCAGCATCAGGAGAAGCCCAACTTGAAAACCACAATGAATTGTAACAACTGGAAGAAAGAAAATCATTATTTATTGACAGTATATAAATATTTGGGTTGCTCCGCACTGTCTTTTTTTTTATTTTTTAAATCTTTGTCCTTTTTTGTTTTTCGAACTGCTGGAAGCTGATTGGATAAGGATTCAGACCACTCAGTCTTGCGTCCCCACCCCTTTTCTGTTCGCGCTGTTAACCTCTTCGATGGACTCTATAAGCAACGGACACGGAAACACCATGAAGAAGCACTTAGATAGAAATATAGGCCAACACTGTAGATGAAATCCCTTCTGGTGTGCTGATGGACAGGGGGCGTGTGCAGTGCTTGTTTGAACTATGGACTCATGACAAGTCGCACTGCTGTGATCTGGTTTTTCCTTCATGAACTTGAACTTTGTTTTCTGCCCTCTCATCGACTACACTGTTTGTCCTACCACCTGCTCCTGTTCTCCTTCTTCATGGTGGAGTAAACTGCACAAAACGCTCTTCGTCACTGTCCTTCAGAGGATGCTCAAGGCTTCCCAATCCACCATTGAGTTGGAAACTTAGTTGGCGACTGTATTCGTAAACCACGACAGAAAGTGGAAGCCCTTTACTTTGAAAGAGGATTTGCTTTATAATAATTCCAATCTGTTTAATCATAACCTTAATTACAAGCCCTAACTATTGATAGAATAATGGGAGGTCACACAAAATCACTGAAGGGCTTTTAGGACCTACAGCCTATACCAAGATGTCGACTATAAAGGGATTGCTTGTTTCCGGATAGAAGTCCATCAACCCTCTCATGTCTAAATTTCCTTTCCTTATTATTGACCACGCAAATGAGCAGTGTTAGTGATGGACCCCTCAGCTGTGCACACTGAGCTAGTGCTTTACTTTGACATGCCTTGGGGTGCACATTCTTTCTCACATGTTGGTTCCATTTTTCCGTTACAGCAGACTAGGGGGATTTTGGACTCTAGGTTGGCTGTGTGCTTCTATGTTTGCAACAAAATAAAAAGTCAGAAAATGGGAGATGCAACACTGTTGTGTTTCTAAACTGTTAATTAAAAATCTGTTTTTAATTGTATTGATTTTGTCTTTTGTCGACATTGACAAAGTTTCTTTTGTTGTAAACTGTTCTATTCTGTCAAAGTGGACAGGGCAAGATCCTACACCTGACCAGCTTTCAGCAGATCCACCAGTCGTAGCTAGCATAGCTTTTTTTTCCTGACGTTCCAGTAGTTTATGTAAAAGTTCCTTTTATAGAAACCCTTTTTCCACTTGTGCTGGAGGTTTGATATAGAAACTGACCTCTATTTTTCAGGCTTACTTGGTGCTGTATGGTATAGTCACTGCCACTTAATGTTTGGTTATTTAGTCCTTTTCTTGGTAGTTTTACCTCTTCACATCTCAACCTTGTTTGTGTCAAAATGCCTGAAGATTGTCTACCCTAAAAGTCTGGCCAGAAAAAATAAAGCGCATCACCTTCTTAAAGCTGCATAAATCTGATGTCATCAAAACGTATTATGGAGAGATATGGGATTTTAACCTGTTTTAGTTGATAACATTCTTTTTACAAAAATGTTCATGACCAAAAGGCTTTAAAGCAGCTGGTCTTCAATAAGGTATGATGCAATGCAAGAGGATTTACCATGATGCATCGTTTTTTTAGGTAGAAGATAAATCTGAGGGGGTTCAAAGGAGAGCGAAAAGGAAAAGGGTCGACGTGGCGCAGAGGTAGAGAGGGTGCGCCAGGAACCGTAAGGTTGGTGGTTAGAGCCCTGGCTGGCTGCCCCATGTCGAATTGTCCCTGAGCAAGACACCTAACCCCTAATTGCTCCCCGGGCAGGAATGTAAAAAAGCCATGGAAAAAAATGCAATGGTCAGCTAAATGACCTGTAATGTAATGAAAAATGGCCCTTAATATTAAAACCTGAGAGTTTGTATGAGATGAAGTAACACATTGCATTTACTTATGCAGAGGGCTGACTTTTCACCTCTGCCAATTCATCCTATAGTTTACCATAGACCATGTACTTTGATTTTGGCTACTTCCTTACCTTGTGCCACAGCTCGATTCTCATACAGGGGCCATAAAAAGTGATTGGATTATACCTGTCGTACCAATACAGGTGAAATCCAATAAGGACTTCCAAGTGGTACAGGCATATGCTGCAGGCATACATTTTGTTCTGAATTTTTTTATGGGGAGACTTAACCTGAATGGGTGGAAAACTCAAATCCACTTCAGAACCATGGGCTCAGGAGCAACAGTTTCCAGCTACATGTGGACAGATTTGGAGATTTCCAGTCTCACAGCGGGAAGATGTATTATTTGGCCGAGGTCCATACTCAGAAGAGGAGAGGATGCCTGTAAGCACTCATCGAAGATGATGATTTGGCAAAGTGGCGAGTTGGCATCTTATGCTGTGTGGCGCCTGTAACCAACAAATGTAATGTTAAGGCAAGGAAATTGACATTTGCTCATTTTATGCGGATTAAAATGAGCAAAAGACACACAGCCACTGGAAATGGAATTTGCTTTACGGCAGAACACGTGTCCGTACATGTTCCCTCTCGTTCGTCCTAGTGGAGTTAATACATACATTTGAAATGTGTTAGGGTCTCAACACTATTATTGTCATCGCACGCACATGCGCAGATAGACCCCTAGTGGTGCTCAAGCACCTGCTCTTTTGCCCTGGACAAGAAAAGTGGATTGAGAACCTGCCCCGCAAAATGTCTGCGCACGTGCCAGAGTATCTGACAGGTGCGTTCGATAATTGCTGAGACGCAGCTGCAGTCTCCGGCAGCAGTCCGCCCCGTATGTATAACGCGGCTGTGCAAATGAGAGCGTTCCATTCCTCCTGTGCTATTGGAGCGTCCTTCGCCGGGGGGCCGCCCGTACCGCTCCGCGCGCTGCGCCATTGGCTCGCGTGTTTCAGATTCACTCCGCCAATCTGAGAAGCCTCTGTTGTTATATGCTTTTCCTCCCTAAAGCATTACGTAAAGATTCGATCGCGCCCGCTCACAGTCTCACGGCCTTTCCGCCGAGCCAATAACTGACTGGAACAAACATGTCTGGCAGAGGGAAAACCGGAGGCAAAGCTCGAGCGAAGGCCAAGTCCCGCTCCTCCCGGGCTGGACTCCAGTTCCCGGTGGGCCGAGTTCACAGGCTACTGCGCAAGGGAAACTATGCGGAGCGCGTCGGTGCCGGGGCTCCGGTGTACCTGGCGGCCGTGCTGGAGTATCTAACAGCTGAGATCCTGGAGCTGGCAGGTAACGCGGCCAGGGACAACAAGAAGACCAGGATCATCCCCAGGCACCTCCAGTTGGCCGTGCGCAACGACGAGGAGCTTAACAAGCTGCTGGGAGGTGTGACCATCGCGCAGGGGGGAGTGCTGCCCAACATCCAGGCTGTCCTCCTCCCCAAGAAGACGGAGAAACCGGCCAAGAGCAAGTAAAAGACAGGCCGCAGAACCTGGTCGTGCTCGTTTTTGGGATTGACATTTTCCAATAGTGGACAGTGTTTGGTGTTGCTGTTTCTACAATGAAGACATCAAGTCTCTTTCCATCGGGGCTGCTCACAGACTGGTTTTCTCTCGTGTAGTCGACTCGTTAAACTCGTGGACGAGATCCGATGTTAACATGGACTTGTTCTGAGGGGAGGGCTTCGTATTGGTTCGCTCTGCTGCTACCAGACGTTACAGATGGTTGTGTTGTTTTTGTCATGTCTCAATAAAAAGACCCCGCAGCCTCGTGGCATAGGGCGAGTACATCCGGTCTGCATGGAGCCTGTGTACTGTGTCAGCAGTCAGTAGGAGAGAGAACGACATGCAGCTTGTGCAGAGTTTAAACGGGCAATGTAAAATAGAGTACTGGTACTGTTTTTTTTGGTCCCATATTATGAGGGTTTTCTCCATCACGTGCCTTCTCATGCTGAAATTATGAACGGCAGTCCTTCAAGGAAGCCGTGGCAGATTGTGATCATGTTTCTATTCATTGCTACATATGATCCTGTCCTTTGAGAACAATAGAATATCTTGATCATTTTGCAGTTGAGCGAGCATCCCTCTATTCATTTCTTTTCCTTCAAGGTACATTTCTAAAACTGTACTTTACTGTGCCGACCAAACTAAAATGAGTAGTTTAGTTGAACTGTCAAACATTCCCAAGGCTGGGCCTCTTTTCTCATTAGGGTTCTCATTGCATTGTTTGTATTAGTCACACACCCTGAAACTGGGTTTCTTCTAGATGCAACTCACAGCATAAAGGGGGAATTGGAAACATTATACTTGGGAAACATTTAGACAACTTACTACTCAATTATTTGAGCTGATGTAACTTTTTTTTAAACCTTTCTGTCTATAATAAAACAGTTCATAATCCTCTATGAATTTTGTAGTATGAGCACATCATCAGATAAAACCTGTTGATACACGTCCTTCCATCCTAATTTACTACTCTTGGCTGAAAGCACAGACGCTGTTGCTCTAACATCACACTGCAAATACCACTTTTCAACGTTAGTGTGACATCATATTTCATTTAGTATTCAGATGTATGAATGGGATTAATTTGCTTCTGTTGGTCACGAAGTTCCTCTGGGTCTAGATACGTCAACCAGCAGGTGTATTCTCATCATTCAGTAATGACATCAAGGGCGTATCTATATGACTTAGTAGTTGTGTAAGCCTACACAATTCTAAATATTTTAAATTACAAGGGAATCTCCACTGCTTATTCCAAAATAAAGCGTGGTCATTCTGCTGTTAGTCAGCCAGCAAGATTTTCCTCCTCCACAGAGGACTTCATGCTGAGGCGTATAGGACTCAGGGGCGTTATTAGACACCTTGTCACGTCGAATGTTGTCCTCGGCCTGATACTTCTTGATTAATGGACACATCAAATATGAGGATGTACCTCTCAGCCAACTGCTGTTCTCAAATGCATGACAACTCGTCATTGATGAGGGAACAATTTAAAGCATTTGTTATTCCAACAGGGGGCAATAATACTGAATTATGGGGGCAAGTGTCCGTATATATTAATATGTTAAGATTTAGGTTTAGTAATATCTTAGGACGTAAAACATATTTACAACAGTCTAGATAGCGGGTCTGGGCCACCGATTCAAAGGGTCATCAGGTGCACATAATGTCATCTTCATTTTCATCGCCATCTGCATTCTCATAACCGAAGTGCAGGGTTGCAGCAGTCTGACCCTCTTGCCCACAAGATGAATAGAGGACACAAAAGCCTTCCAAAATTGTTGAGTGTCGTGATATTATTCTGTGAGTCGTAGCCTTGTGTTTCCTTCATAAGGGCCAGAACAGATACTGTCAGTCCTAATTTACTGTCTGTCTCTCTGCCCTTAAATGTCTCACTGCCCTGGTCATGTGGCTCCACTGTTACTAGGCGAACATTCTTTTTACAGTTCATGTATCATTACAGTCAACTGACAGACTTGTTTAAAGACTAAATATCTGTTAAATATTATATATGATGTATCTTTTAGATCTTTAGCCATGATTTAACATACAAGTTGCTTTAAGAATTCCTAACATGAAATATGATCATACCAAAATTCAGACATCAAATATAATTTTCAAAGTTTCCCTCTATATTCGTTGTCATTCTAAAAGCACAGTTAACACTATTATCGCTCTACACGGAGATCACTGAAGGGTAATGGTGGAACATACTGCTCCATACCAGGTCCAACACAGTCCAAATGGAAATGTCAAACATCAAAGATTGGACACATGTGTTTGGTGTATGGGTTACTGATTGTGTTTCGGATACATTCTTTATTAATTCAATTCTTTTTGTTTTGTATACCCCAAAATCCATAAGAACCTAGGTAGAACAACAGAGGAAGAATCTCTGTTGGCTTTAAGCTAAATATGGTTGGATATAAGTATGGAATTTGTGCCTGCTACATCTAAAATGTATAAATAAATAATGTGTATGAATCCTAAACTTTTAACTTTTACTAAGAATCACATGATACGTTTAATCAAAAAGTCTATGGAAACCACATGGCAGTGATGTCATGGAAGGTCCCTCGGTAGAGTACAAATAGAGCTAGAGATGAGGAAACACGCAGAGTGGAAGTGTGATTGTTGGTGAGATGGAACTGAAGCTGCAGCTCAGTGTCTTCGTGTTACTCATACAGGGTGAGTCCTTCACTTTCAATACTTATATATCAGGCACGCTTTGTTATGAAAAGTAATGCTTAAAGGACAGTGAGCTCAATCTGACGTTAAACCGGCACATGAGGCTACTGGGAGTCATGCTTTTGCTCATGACTTCGTGGCATGAGTCGTCTTTCAGTGTGTGATGTTTCAAAATGTGAGCGTGCTGAAAATATCATGGTTGCACTTGTATTCAGTAGAAAATGAAATGTTGCCTGAGTTTGTGCTTTAGATGTTTATATTTTAGAACGTTTTTCAGTCAAGCCGTAGATGAATTGCCTCCCCATTTGGATTTTTATCCAATTTTCCTTGTTTTTACATTATTTTTTATTGCAAAATTACTGCAAATACCATCTTATTTTCTCTGGTTTTCTTTTTGCCATACAGTACCAAACAAAAAAGGTATTTCTCGTATAATTTTCATCTATTCCAATGTTCAGTTAATGTAATGTCATATACAGTATACAAGACAACCCGCGATGACCTTGGGCGGTTCAAGCCCACCGCCCTCACTGCTGGTATCAAAATGCCCCCACAAGTGTATTTTCCAAACAGCTCGTAATTTCCCCCCCATAGGAAAGAAAAAGCACCTAAAGCCCTGAGAACCACCCGCTGCAATTCTCTAACACCCACCTTTACTTTCTCTTTCACCCAGAAGCAACTGACCACATTACTTCCTGTCACACTAGAATATACGTTGACGGGGGGTTGCTTCTTTTGTAGTTGTAGTACAGTGAAATTGATGCCATTTTTTTGAAAGGTTACGTTTATCATTAAGCAGAACATTGTGCTCACTGTGAATTTATGAGGAAATGGAAGTTTCTGTTTATTTGTTTGTAGTTTCCCTTGCTGTGTGGCGTCATGTGACTGTGATAAAGGGGGAGACACTCCGCTTAAGCTGCCCTGTTACTGACGCTAACATGACCCCTGTTGACTGGAAGAACCCTGAAGGATATATTATGTTCTTTAATCGCCAAAAAGGTGACTTCCACATATATTTTGCTTTGATCACTCAACAGACATGTATTATCAGCAACCTAAATTGTCGCTCGCTTTTTAGTTATGGATATTAAACATATATGTATTTGCCCTCCCTCGCCCAGCCTTACAGGACAAGCGCTACAGCATCAACAAACTGTCTCAAACAAAGTTCATCATCAGTATTTCCAAAATCACCTTCAAAGATGGTGGCAACTATACATGCTCTCAATATGGCGCACACACAACAGAGAAGAAAGTGGAGGTGACGGTCTTAGGTGAGGGTAATGATTTTGTCACAGATTGCATTATTGTTTAAGCCAACGACATCACATAGTTTTTAATAACCTTTAGCATTACTCGTCCAGACCATTGATGATTTAATGATCATTTTATAAATAATATATGATGTTATAATATCTGGCCCTATGTTGTTTTAAAGGCCGTCCAAAAATGGAAGTAGCTGAGCATGAAGGAAGGTTTGTCATAAAATGCTCTGCTAAGGGGAACCACTATCCTCCTCAAATTTCTTGGAAAATGAATAATTCCCCTGAAGTTCTTGGTAAGTTTGTAATAACTGAAATGTCAAAAGCTACGGTGTAATGAAGAAGTGAACCAGAGTGGGGCATATAAAGTAAATGAATAACATGAATCTGGCTCACAAAGGCTCATCACCTGCCACCTTTAGCAGTGTGTGGGTGGTGCATCTTTGCTCACTACAATTTTGAATCAACACTCCGCATGAGTGGGCTCATCTCTCAGTGACATTTTCCATACCACCTTATGGTTGTGTTAGTGGGCCGGGCGGATATTATTTAAGACCTACGGATGACTATGACCTTTTAATGACAAAAGTAGAATATTGGGATTCTAGATGTAGATCAGCAATTAAAACTCTCCATAGACAGTTCTCAGCAATGTCTTATTCCGATTGTTCTTTTATTAGTACACCTGCTTACAAGTAGTACTTACGATATCTGTCCCTTTCCACAGCACATAACATGGAAGAAATTAGAAGTAACACGACATATGCCTCAATGGCTGTGCTACATGTTGACTCAGTGGAAAGGAGGACCACAGTCAAATGCCTTGTTCGCCATCCGGCTCTCCACTCACAACCTCTGATGAACTTTGTCAACATTATACAACACCGTGAGTAGAATTTATTCATTTCCATCTTCCGCCGAGAAATTGATTTAAACAATGGCGCTTACATTAACCAAAACTTGCTTACTTGAAGCAGTTCTGCCTAATGGCTGATATTGGACCGTGAAAGTGTAGTTGTGTCATCACAAAGCAGGGAAAGCACTGTAGAGGGTCTTTTTCCTCACAAGTTTCTCAATCCACAGTGCCAGCCCTGTTTGATTTCCTCTTTCTGTACTGCAGAAGGTTGGGTTTCCTGTATTCAGATAATGAAAAATGAAATGCTAATGTGTTGTCTGCAAATTGTTAAAATTTCAGCAAGAGTTTTTATTTTGACTGTGCATGTATTAAATGTTGATTCTGCTTAGTAATAATGTAAACCCCCTCTCTGTCACAGCAACAAAGTCCCGGCACACAACCACAACTAATTACCCCACAACCCAGCCTCGAGGGTCAACAGGGGTGCCAGCAGGGCACCTTGCAACCACACACATGTTCTCCCATGAACCAAAGACGGTCCCCAGTGGACGTCCTCTGATCCCCACTGGCTCAACTCTCACAACCAATGGTGTGTCAGTCGGTTTTCATTTATGTATCATTATGTTACATGGACTTTAAGAAACAAAATATTTCACATCAAATCGAATGACATGCAGAAATAAGATAGGATACACAAAAGGAACATCCAAAAGAATCTTTCAACAACAACAAAAAAGTATTTTTAATGTTACATGGCAGAATACATATATTCATATGTCATATCAGATTCAAATAGCGGCATTGCTCAAAGACTCAGAATTCATAGACGTCTAACCTATACTAAAGATGATCAGGCGCATAACTATCATTACAGTTGTGATACTAAATCTGTTTCCTGTGACGGAAGTCTCTAAGTATAGTGTGAAAGATGCACTGACAATGCAGACCACTGTCAAACATTTCAGCTGCAGCTCAAAAAACTGCTGTTTACACATCCTTTATTAAATTAAAAGTAATCCAGAATAAATAAATAAAATAAATAATAAATAACATGCAGTAGATATGCTGGTCTTAATGCAATCCAGAACTTATTTCATGAAAGATCTGACCTCCTCCAAAGCATTTCAGTCATACGTTTTGAAAAAAAAACAGCAGGGCAAGAATATGTAAAACATAACCAAACTGTTGAAACTCTCAAAAACCAATATCTTAAATGTTATCCCTGAATTGGATTTGGCCAGTAAAGTCGCCAGAGTTTCCTTATGAGGCTTGTTTGTCAAAGGGTCTTTATTCTTGTACATGAGTCAACAACCTCTGTGGCATCAGCCTTGACCAGGAGGCGGAATGATAGTAATCCCACAACAGGTATAACATGACTGCATTGTAAGATTAAAACTATTGCAGACAGATGTCGGATTCCACCCAGTGGTCTGAACGACACAGCTGATGTCTTCCAAAGTGAAAACAGGGTTGACTGAAGCATATTTTTTAAATAGCTGTTATTTATTGTACCTTTCTTCTCCATAATGCCTTATAGACTGGACGTCTGTCTCCGAGACAACAGAGGGCATCACATCCAATAACAATACAGTTGGAAACACAACAGGTAGACTGAAGTTCAGTTGCCCTGCTTTGAAAAACAATAATGAGATGACAGTCTTTACAAGCGATTAATGTTTTGTTAAACTAAATAGTATTGTGTCAACTTCCAGGAAGCATTAATGACCCAAAGATGTGGACAGGACCTGAAGGAAGTTCCTCATTATTGGTCTTCCTGGTAACATGCCTGCTCTTTGGTCTCCTTGTGGTTGTCATTTTCTTTGCAATCAAGCTCAGGAGAGCACACACCGCCTGGAAAAGAGGTAAGCAGAACATATTCTCTTTTTCTGCTCAGCATCTAATTAAACCAAAGAAAGCATACCTTACCTAAGTTATGTTTAAAAAAAAATTTGACAGTTTTTATTGTTACAGAGAATGAAGATACTGTTCCATCAGAGGAGAGCAGTAAATCCAAATCAAGCCAAGAAGAGAAGAACGTGCAGGGACAGAAGCAAAGAGGTGAGCAGATAATTCAGCACTCTTTTAAAAGCCAGAATAAATGTGGAAAAGTAGACAGTTATGGTCGACAGAGACATAGCCGACATCTACAAACATTTTAATTCCTTTTCTTCCTATGACTTACCTTTGTAAAGACATGGATCTGTTACAGAAATGTTGTGCCATGTGTTGATATTTAATCAAATTGAATATTAAATAACTTTTCGCTTTGGGAAATGAATGAAGCTCAGTAAAACATGTTTATGTGGAGAAACCTGCACACACTCATTCTGTGCGTGTAAATCATGTTTTTGCACATATTTTAGTATATAATAATAATAAAGCTTTTGTGAGTGAATTTCTGAATTTCAAAGAATTGCCTCTTTAATTTCGCAGTCCCAGGTGGTATATCCAACTTGCAGTACTGCTGACACACTTGTTTTTCCACCGAAAACGGGCAGTACCCTCCTTCTTGTTCCCGATTGTAAAAGTATCTCTTTCTCTCTCAGGCTTTTTCAACACAGCATTCACACAGTACGTCGTTGAAAAACCAACAGCGATAAGCTCTGTGATGAAGGGAAATTCAATGGCAGCAACAGAGAGTGTAAATCCACAATCTCAAAATCAACCTCAAACCCTGAGACAAACTTCAGCCCAGAGAGACATAAAGGAGACAGAGCTATGACAATCTGTAAAATACTGTACATATATCAATAATAGCATGAGCACCACCAGAATGCTCACATATTAGAATGAGTTGTTTTTTACAATGACGAAATGTATATTTACATCTTAGAAAACAATGTGACAATTTGCTTTTTACAGTTTATATATTGTATGTATTTTGTCTTTACATCAACCAATAAATGATGTTTTGCTCAAACACACTGGCGAGCTTTGTTTGAACATGGATGATTTTTTAGGGTGAACTGAATGCAATCTCGGTGAACGCAATAGTCTCTGATTCGCCCCTGCACTTTGTAAAAAGATCTGTTGCATTCCCTAGGATAGTCTGATCGCCTCTCCTTTTTTCTTCTACTTGGTAATACACTAATACAGTACTTGAATAATTCAGAAGGAACAGTTCAAGTTATTAAAATAAATTAAATCATTCCCAGAATCAGAAGCCTGGAATGAACAGACAGGATCGCATACTGCACACAACATTGCTTTCCGATTTGGTGACGTTTGGGCCTACAGTTCACAAACCTGAAGAGGGGCAATGAGGGGGACGAGCAAAGCCACAAGCAAATAATTGAAAGCAAAGATTGGAATTGGAGGTGGAAGGAAGGCCAGTTCAGGTAAATCTGAGGGACCGATGGGGGGGGTTTGAGAGAAGAGGCCAATTGAGATTTATTAGGAGTGAAGTGATAGTGTGCCATCATTTTTTGTGAGTGGCTAGAAGTGTTCACACTGCAAATACTCTTCCTTTCAAATTAACATAATCTCAACAACCTATTCTGTTTATTCCCCCTAATAAATATGTACATTGCTCTGCACTTTGGGAAACTCATTATTTTGTCTACCTATAAACATACGTAGTTCGTATGGATATAACATATCAGATAACGTTTGCCTAACCACGTCCATCCCCAGGTAAAGCTGTAACGGGGCCATGAGGTCTTTCATTTTTATTATGGAATACAGATCATCAGATCATAAAACAGGAAGTATACTGGATCTTTCCCTACGTCATCAACTATACTACGCGTGATTGGTGGACCGGCAAAGACTCGACGTCTCATTGGCTGCTTAGTCGTAGATATAAATAACTCCCGACAACGGCATCTTGTACTTTTCCCTCCTCATACCGGCAAGGACCAGCAAGCCTCGCTGCTGTCCATTTCAACAAATCCCCTTAAAACAAATTCGGCTCCACATTTCGGTAAGTAAAGAATGCATGTTTTACAAAAACACCGCACCCTTTTTTCAACCCTTTGATGAGATGAATGAAGTTGGCCTTCGCCTTTTGTTCACTCGTTCTCTTTCGGTAACGTTATTTACCGACATAAATAATGTAACGTTACTTGTTTTTTGTAATTATTGATGCCGACTTGTAACAAAGAAGGCTAATGTTGGACTGTTCTCTTATTCTGGGAAAGCCTGGAACGTTACTGACGCGCATTAGCTAACGTTAGCTGCGTGGGAAGGGTGGGGGTTGGGATTTTGAGACCTTCGAGAATGTTCCTCAACAAAGTGTCAAGCTAGACCGTATGAGCAGACTTCCGGTTTATTTTTTAGAGCAATGTGTATTGCCATCCATTTACGATGTCCAGGCTCTTACAGGAGTATTGCCGTTATGTGATCAAAGTAACTGTTTACAGTAATTTCATTTTCATTAACTTGATTTATTAAAGAGTTGCTATCTGGTTGTCTGTGATGCCACATGGAGGTGTCCGCTTGCTTCGTGTCGTTTATTTACCGTTGATACTGCCGCAGTGGAGCCGGCGCGAGCCTCGCGCTTTTCCGGAAATGACGTAGTGACTGCCGCCGTGTGGGGCCTGTGGTCGCGGCGCTCTTTAGTGTTATGTTACATGTTTGGAGATTTTCGTTTTGGGGTAATTTTAGACCTTTTTTCCCCATCCAAATCAACTATATACAATATATCCAACCATCATTTATTGAATGCTTTCAAATGCCAATGTGTGTCTACACATGCCTTATATCTAGGGTCTCCATATTGGTTTTCAACAATTATTTGTGCGATGTTGTGTGCTAGCGAAGTCTCCCTGAATCAATGTTATTGACAAATCAACTCTTCCATGTTTTTGTAGGAAACATGTCTAAGGGACCAGCAGTAGGTATTGACCTTGGGACCACCTACTCCTGTGTTGGTGTGTTCCAGCATGGCAAAGTGGAAATCATTGCCAATGACCAGGGCAACCGGACCACACCCAGCTATGTGGCCTTCACAGATTCAGAGAGGCTGATTGGCGATGCTGCCAAGAATCAGGTTGCCATGAACCCCACAAACACCGTTTTTGGTATGAAATGCACTTTTTGTTTGTTTGAGGGATATTGTAATTGTCTGCCAAAATGCTGCCAGTTGATTGTTAACGTTGATACTCGTATGAAAGACTGACTGATTAACTAACTTATAAGTGCTAAAGCACTCCCTTGACATTCATAGTTTCTATCGGATGCTGGTGGCATACATACTACTTTTGGATTTTAATGGCTACTGTCAGATTTTTAAAAATCAATTTGAATGTATAAAATGGTTTTATTTTTATTTTTTTCAACAGATGCTAAACGATTGATTGGTCGCAGGTTTGATGATGCCGTTGTGCAGTCAGATATGAAGCACTGGCCATTTAATGTCATCAATGACAACACTCGCCCCAAGGTCCAAGTAGAATACAAGGGCGAGTCAAAATCTTTCTACCCAGAGGAAGTCTCATCTATGGTGTTGACAAAGATGAAGGAGATTGCTGAAGCCTACCTCGGAAAAGTACGTATATTCCATAGCCCAGGAAATTGTTGTCTTTGATGGACGATGTGCTAATGTTGTTTCCTTTAAAGACGGTCAACAATGCCGTGGTTACTGTGCCCGCTTACTTCAACGATTCCCAGAGGCAGGCCACAAAGGATGCTGGGACAATTTCTGGCCTCAATGTCCTGCGTATAATCAATGAACCAACTGCTGCTGCTATTGCCTATGGACTGGACAAGAAGGTAGGAAACTTTGCATAATTGTACTCGAATGATCAATATTGTAATGGAAAATGTTAAGGCAATCTCTAATGTATATGACTAAATTCAGGAAGATGTTCATGATTTGGTAGCATTGGGAATGTATTAACGCCAGTGTTATTTCAGGTTGGCGCTGAAAGGAACGTCCTAATCTTTGACCTTGGTGGTGGCACCTTTGATGTGTCCATCTTGACCATTGAAGATGGTATCTTTGAGGTAAAGTCCACTGCCGGAGATACACATCTTGGTGGGGAAGATTTTGACAACCGCATGGTCAACCACTTCATTGCTGAGTTCAAGCGCAAATACAAGAAGGACATCAGCGACAACAAGAGAGCAGTCCGTCGGCTGCGCACAGCATGCGAGCGGGCAAAGCGCACCTTGTCTTCCAGCACTCAGGCCAGTATTGAAATTGACTCTTTGTATGAGGGAGTCGATTTCTACACCTCCATCACCAGGGCTCGTTTTGAGGAGCTCAACGCCGACCTCTTCCGTGGCACCTTGGATCCCGTGGAAAAGTCACTCCGGGATGCCAAGATGGACAAGGGGCAGATTCATGACATTGTGTTAGTCGGTGGCTCAACCCGTATCCCGAAGATCCAGAAGCTTCTCCAGGATTTCTTCAATGGGAAGGAGCTTAACAAAAGCATTAATCCAGATGAAGCTGTGGCTTATGGGGCTGGTAAGTCTTTAGGGAGATGGCAGAGCGCACAGATTTAAATTTACTTAGTTGTTTAAATTGTGAGCAATGCAGCAAAAGGAGATGGAAGTCATGAACTATGGTGACCTATACAATAAATATACTTTATTTTAAACTTAAAATTGTTAAACCATTCCTTGTTTTCATAGCTGTCCAAGCTGCCATCCTCTCTGGCGACAAGTCTGAAAATGTCCAGGACCTGCTACTTCTAGATGTCACCCCTCTGTCCCTTGGTATTGAGACTGCTGGAGGTGTCATGACTGTGCTGATCAAACGTAACACCACCATTCCCACAAAACAGACTCAGACCTTCACCACCTACTCTGACAACCAGCCTGGTGTGCTCATCCAAGTAAGCCAATCATTCAAGATACTAGTCTCTAAATTTCGCAGTGATGATGTTTATTCCTGCCATTCGTAGTTTCCACCAGAGGTTGCAAGACCGAAGAGGGCCCCGACCTTCCTTGGATGTCTGAGCGAAATAATTGTAGAACTGTAGATGTCTTGTGCCCAAATGGTGTGCCAAACTCTGCATTATTTTCACAGGTCTACGAGGGTGAGCGTGCTATGACGAGGGACAACAATCTGCTGGGCAAATTTGAGCTGACCGGCATCCCTCCAGCGCCCCGTGGTGTTCCCCAGATTGAGGTGACTTTTGACATTGATGCTAATGGCATCATGAATGTTTCTGCTGTAGACAAGAGCACTGGCAAGGAGAACAAGATCACCATCACCAATGACAAAGGTGAGCTTTTAGTTGAACTCTAAACATAATCTCAAATGTCCTCTGACAAAATAACCAACTATTATCTGCCTGCAGGTCGCCTGAGCAAGGAGGACATTGAACGCATGGTCCAGGAAGCAGAGAAGTACAAGGCTGAAGATGACGTTCAACGTGACAAGGTGTCTTCTAAGAATGCCCTGGAGTCTTATGCCTTCAACATGAAGTCCACTGTGGAAGATGAAAAGCTTGCTGGCAAGATTAGTGACGATGACAAAACAAAGATTTTGGAAAAGTGCAAGGAGGTCATCAGCTGGTTGGACAAAAACCAGGTAAATCGTCAATCTTTTAGTAGGACTTTTCTTTAGTGGAGCTGTGATAAATGGCCAAAACGCCTAAATGGTTTTCTTTTACAGACTGCCGAGAGGGATGAGTATGAGCATCAACAGAAGGAGCTGGAGAAGGTCTGTAACCCAATCATAACCAAGCTATACCAGAGTGCCGGTGGTATGCCAGAAGGCATGGCTGGTGGCTTCCCTGGTGCTGGTGGTGCTGCACCAGGCAGCGGTGGATCTTCTGGACCAACAATCGAAGAGGTCGACTAAGAGTGGCTCACTTTAACCCGCTACTCCAGGATGTCTCCAAGAAAGTAACCCTCTTATAGCAGAAGTTCCAACGAGCTATAGAGTGTATTAAAATGAATAAAAGCTGGGTTCAGGATCACACTTATTGCATGGTTTGCAACAACTTGTAGTTGGCGCTGTTGGTTCACATGTGTGGGAAATTGTTTTGTCACTGCCTTGACAATAAAAAAATAAATCTTAGCCCTCCTCTGGCCCCATTTTGTATCTTGTTTAAAATTTCACCAGAGATGGATAACAAAGGCAATATGTTTTGTATAGGATGCTCTGCATTGAGAATCATAGCTGCTTGGTGGTTGTAAAAACTATTTACAAAAGCCTTTTTTTTTTTTTTCCCTACCCAACATTTGTCCACCGATTTCCTGTTGTATTTGGACTAGTCTTGACAGCGTGGCAGGACGAAATAACCAGCTGCAGGGTAGTTGTGGGCAGACTGGTCGACGAGGGAGGTAGTCGTTGCTGCCAGTGTTAATTTCGTCGACGAAAAATGTTCGTTAACCTTTTTTCCATGACTAAGACGTGACGAAAACGGATCTTAAAAAATAAACTGACTAAATATATTCAAACTTTCTTTTACGAGACAAATGTTGGTGGTTGATTAAGTCACAATACTCTTTTCCCCCTAAATCTGCATACACCTAACAGACATGGGCAAAGTACGGCGGATATTATCGTGTCATGATGACGTCATCCACGAACCCAGAACGCTCGCGCACATCGGTGCAGCGGTGGTTCTTGTGCACCGACTACATCCACTCGAGCACGGTCGTCCTCCAATCAGAGGGTTGTGGGTTAGATCCCAGGCTCTGCTAACACGCATGTCGTTGTGTCCTTGGTCAAGACGCTTAACCCAACATTGCTCCTGTAGCCTGACTACTACTACTACTGACCACAGTGTGTGAATGTTCGTTACTGATGGGCAGGTGTCACTGTATGGTTCTCCTGTCATCAGTGTGTGAATGGGTGAATGATGTCATGTAGTGTTAAAGCGCTTTGAGTGGTCGGAAGACTAGAAAAGCGCTGTACAAGTACAGACCATTTACCATTACCATTTACATACCGCGACGACTATTTTACGCTTCGGCGAGTTTGAATGTGGGCTTCCTTAGTTTAGCTCAGCTGTCTCGGATTAGCTGATTGTTAGCAGGCTGAAGCCGCGGTGCTTCAGCTGTGTAACACACTGTCGGCCAGCAGAGATCCATGCGCACCTTTCTGCTGCAATTCCTCGGCTGGATGAGACGGTCCGTTACAGGCGTCTCCAAACACGTCTAACATAATAAACTCATTGCAGTTTCTGAAGCCTCACGCATTGACCGTGTGAGACACGCATTTCAACCATATCTCGCACGCCACATCGTGAGAAGACTAGGAGGCGGAGGCTTTTGATAGAACTGCTCGGTGCAAGTTAAAGATGTAGCAGCACAGAGCAGGTGGAGGAAAACCCGCAGGACTCAAGAGACACAAATGAAACCAAAAAATAAAGTGGAGACAAAGAGAAAGAAAAGACTGTTCAATGAAAAGTGGGGGTCCAGTTGAGTGGCTGGTTTATGATGCAGCCAAGAAAATCATGTATTGCACTGATGTTAAGGGGTCTCTTGTTGGGACAAGCAATTTCACAGTGGAAACAAAGGACCATGAATTTTCCGTTGGCCATGTCAAAAGCATTGCGAGTAAACAGACAAAGACAACAAAGTGTTGAGTTTATGTCCCTGGTCCTCATGAAGTTGGCGGAGCTTTACACCCTTGTCATTTGTTAAATTGACTTGCAAATAAATGCTTTGTTATTGGTTTCAGCTGAGCTTTTCCAAGGAGCACTTGAAAGCAGCATGTGCGCGTTGGCGTTTCTATGGTTGCGTTGCTATGGAGTACTGCCACAACAGGTTAGTATCTGAAGTAATTCATGTTCGTGTACTTAGCGTTAACTCTACCGTTGTCTCTGTTTGACTGGTCACCGTGTTAACGGTAAGCGGGGGGATATTGTCATGTCGTTAGTTTTTTCTGTTTTGGTAAAACCTGCTAAGCTAGCGGACGTTATCCTAGTTAACGTTATGTAACCAAACCAAGTTTAATAGTTTGTAGTTAAGCGATGGAAAAAACAACTGTCCTCTTCCTTGCGAACAGTATAAAACTATTCGTTTTCATCCCTAGCGTTAGGACTTTATTGGAGGACATGTATTCATTTCATTGGCCGACGGTGGGATGAGTGCCCAACTAAACGATTGGTGCTTGAATGTATAAGAATCAACGTTAGATCCCGTATCCGTCTCTCTTGTATTCAAACATGCAACAGTCAGTCCTAGCTAACTATTCCTTCAAGCCTGCATGGAACACGTACATATGCTGTAATGTGTATTTCACGGAAATAATACGTTATCTTATTAGTGTATTTAGGGGAGTTGGTATAATCTAACTAGTTCTTCAAACATCAGTAAACGGTTGTACCTAGTAAGACATTCGATTGTTATCAACGCCATTAGTGATGTCTTCTACCTAACGTTATTTAAGGTTTTCACATGGTTCCACTGGAACACATTAATGGGCTATTGCCAGGATTACAGTCATAGTGATACAGTAGCTGTGTTCCATAGTGGTTAGGTGTCAATAACTTAAAGAACATGCAGGTTTATATAGCATATAGTTCACAGCCACCAAATCAATACACGAATGCTAAACATACTACTGCTGCTTCTACAGCGTGCTGATGTTCTTGTACAATACATCTATCTTCTTGTTGTTGCAGTATTTGTAAGTTGCCCTCCAGCTGCAAGCGTCTCTGGTCGAATTTGACCAACAACACAGATGATGAAATCTTCATGAAACAGACACAGACATGTTGAAGAATGAGCAAGTGAAGCGGCAGTCTCTGAAACAAGCGGTTCTGGCCAACCAGTGGGGATCTGTGGTGTCCAACACAGGGAGCTTGGCTCACGAGAGAACTTCCCGGCAACAACTTGAAATGTGTATCGGCCACCATGACCAAAACAAATACACACTACGTTGTAAGCAGAAGGCTGACTGCCTACAGCAGAGAGATGAAGATGGATTCAGTGATGATGAAACAGAGGATTGTCAGCTTTATGATAGCCTTGATGCAGCATCACACAACCATGCCAAATGTACCCCCACCCCGTTACAGACTGAATATGCAGACACAAGGTAAGTTACTCCATTTCTGCAGTGCTGCGATGTAACACACACACATCGAGCCTCAGTTAGTGTGGTAAGAGGTGTGTTGTGTTGTGCATCACAGGCATTAAATAATGGAATCAGGCTGCAATGAACACGTTCTGAGTATATATCATTTTGGCAAAGTCAGAACTGTGATTCTGTTTCTTCATTTGTGCCAATGAAGAGACAGAGACATCTGGTGGTTTGTCAGGCTCACAGCACTACACATATGAGGAACCAAGACACTCACTCATCAACACATTTGAGAGGTTTTGGTTCCTCATATGTGTAATAATAGTCTGTACTTCTCTGGTTTAGAAGCATTTCACATCATGAAGATGGCAGTGTGTGTGTGTGACAGTGCGACCTCCTGTGTTTGACATCATGGTTGATATAAAGTTGCAATCAAAATTACTCGACCCCCATTGTGTATTAGGCTTATTAGCAGTAACAATAAAAAAATAACAGTAAAATAGTTGAATAATTGAATTAGTTTAATAAAACAAATATTACCATGGTTGTCATCCAAATTCAACACCTGATTTCTTTTTTTTCCATAAATCTATTTGGATTTTTAACTTAACAAGTTAGAACTCAAGAACTTTACAATGCAAGAGAAGACATGAGACAAAAAAGGGGGAAATAAAGCAAGGAAAAAACCCCCAATTAAACAAGACAAAAAAGACAAAACAGAAAATAAAAATAAAATAACTACAGCAAATAATATCACAATCGCGCAGAGTTCTTCTCAGTTGTATCATCACGTCGAGACAGTATTAGTACAAGTGTTTTTAATCTGGCAGGGTACAGTTGAGCCTGAAGGGCTTCATCCTGTCTAAGACTGGTCTAAAGGATGACCTTCCAATGTCCACTTATACCAATCGCCCGTCGAAGGTGTATCTGTAGAAATCCAGAAACTGACTGACTGCTACAGAAGACTATTATCTTTTGTGCTATATACAATATATTCCAAACAGTTTAGCGTTGTTGCTACTCCTTGCACTGCTCACTTTGGCTGGCAGAATACATGGCAGGGTTAAAGCTCCAAGTCATACCCGATCAAGGAAACCACTTTGTCCTTCTCTCTCCAAAATATTTGTATATTTCCAAAACATGTAAGTACCAGCTTCAGAATTACATTTACTCATGTAGGAGAACCTAGGCCAAGCCTCCCCCTCAGTGGGGCTGTACAAGGCAGTCTGCGTAATATTTTAAATGATCTTTCTCTGTCTGTGATACAGTTCAAAATCGTAAGTGTATTTTCCATAATTAATGTCCATGTATTTTCTTCTGGCATCTGACACTCTAGAAAAGGTGAGGGGTGGCAGTCTGGGATAGGGTCTGTATGGGTGAGGTTGATGGGGGGGCAGCAGGACGGAGTTAAAGTTATCAGTAAGAGCAGTCTGTTGTCACGTCTTATGTGTATTTAAAAACAACGTCACCTAACTTAAGTCATTTTATAAACTAAGTTGTGATGTTATATATTATAACATATTATAATATTAATATGATAACATTTCTATCGGTATATATTTGAGTGAATTCTATTTCATAACGTTACATTTACAAAAGTGAAAATCCTCTGTGCTGTTAGCTCACCTGCCTCCGTCCTAAATAAATTAAATCCTTGTCGTCCCGCGCTGCATGATGGGATATGCTGGGCCCCAAAGGATAGATCAAATGTGGCTCCTTTTAGGGCTGCGTCCCTCGACCAACTGAATGGGACAGCCGAGTTGCAGCCAAAGTGACATATGCGGCCGACAAATGCGTCCTTAAGGATGCAACTTAGCGGAATTGGGACAAGGCCAAGACAAGACACAATCTGTGGTTTTAACTCAAAATTGTTGTAGTCTGTGTCTTTCAACTAAGGCAAACTTAACTCTGGCAGAGAGCCGCTACACAAACAACCATGAATACCCTCAGTTTTCACTTATATTACTGGTCTTGAACATTCACCCTTGCGCTGCTCCACTGCAATGACCGAAAGCCCCCGAAAGTGGATGTATTTCCCTTCTTCTCATGACATCACAATAGCCACAGAAAAACATACAAAATCCAAACTGTAAAGGAAAACACCTGTCAATATTTCATTGACGGGTTCATTTAATTATTGAGGATTTATACAGACTCTCATGACTTGGGGTCATTTCAGCATCTCATGTTTAAAATACACGCTTTGTAAAGAAAAACAGACTTTTATTTGTGATTAATCTAGATTAATGAATATCGAAATGTGAGATTAATTCTTATTTTTTCATTTATTTAATTGTTTTTTTCCATTATTATTTGTTTCTATTGACAGTGCTACTGAAAAAGGAACCTGCGGGCTTAATTTTCCTGGTGATATAGTAGATGTTATGTATGTTATCTAATTATTGTCAGTGTAGCCTTGTGGATAACAATAATTACATAAACGTGGCATTATATAAACTACTCACCATGATGAGATTGGGATGGGCCTGTCCTTGTTCAATTTGCCTATTGAACTTGACCGTCAATTTCAATGTCTGTAACAAATTCATTGAAATTAACCAGATAATAGTGACGCTTAGATTGCATACAGCAAGGAGAATGGCAGCAGCAATCAAACCTTTTACATTTAAACATTACATGGATGATGAAAGATAAATAGCCCTCATTCATCACTTAACAATGAAGTGGTGTCAGTTATTTAATGAGATACAGGCACTGATGGCACATTGTAGAGAAAATGGCCTAATTCAGGAGCTTTCACAATAACAGCTTTCATTTGAGGTAAATTAGATTTTTGTCTTGTTTGGGTGGATCACAATAAGTGGTCACTCGTAGTCCATTAACAAGGATCATTGTTGATGAAAAGGAGATGTCTCTTTCTGTCTTTTGAAGGGACAGGGGTAGGCATCTATGGTGAGAACAATACTACATATTTTTTGGAGCTCCATTCTTTCTCTTTCTGTTTTCTTTCCAGCAGACACAGCCACAGCAATTTGCCTCTAAAATAGAGGAGGGGCATTCTCCATTTTCCCGTCATTAACCTGAACAGATTGATGTCCACCAAGTGTGGGTTCGCTTCCAAAGTACATTGTTTCAGAGGAAAATGACCATGACATGTTCTCACAAAAGGCTCCATTTCATTGAGCCGAGGCAGTGGACAGTCCCATTCCCATCATCGTGTTCTCATAGTCCTCCTCAAAGCGAGTAAGCCCTTTCACACAGTGCCACTGCATAGTTTACAAACGCAAGGGGCATTTCTCATTCAAGTAAAAGATTCCTATTTAAGCAACTCCATTCATTCCTCTTGACAATGCTTTACACCTCGCTCAAAATATTGCAAAAGGATATTTGAGTGTAGTAATTTTTTTTATTTTCCCATTCAGTGTTTGTAACAATATTTCTCCTGCTTTTGTATGTGCCAGTATTTTCATGTCTGTATCTTGGGCAAGAAATATTAGGCTGTGGTGTCTGCCAGTGTTGCAAGCATCACTTCCAGCTGCATGTTGTCTATAATGCATTCTCCAACTTGTATGAGTCTGAGTCATTAGAGAGACATCCCTTACCCTTTTGGCCTCATCCAAGTGAAGGGCCCTACACCTAGGCAACCCTCCCCCCGACGCACAACATAACGGCAGGAGAATTAGGCTCCCTTCGTCCTCTCCGTAAGCACAACAAAGAGGCTCTCCGCTATTTATTTTAATGAGATCTTTTCATCACCATCAGAAAGAGCATTTTAGTCTGCAATTTTCAAGCCATTTCATAAGCTGAAAATTGCCGTTTGTGAACCATTCCCCCCCTAGTAGCTCTCAAATACACTCTCGTTAATGAGCCTGGAGGTGAAAATACGAAAATTATCTGTAAATACAGGCACATAATCTCCCTCATCAGTTTCAATTTCAGAAGTCTCTGATAAGGCCCAGCTCTTTTTGTTTAAGGACAACATTATTCCACATTGTGTAATGCCTCTTGTTCCTTTGACCTTAAAGGCCAAGGGGACATTCACATCTTTTGGCTATGGGGATGTCAGCAATAAAGCTGCTTACCAACAGTTGAATCAGTTACTAATAATATAGTTTTTTTTCCCTGTACTGTGCATATGTGGACACATTTTGGGATTATTCAAAATTCTTACCTCCCTTATTGATTACAAATAGCAATATAGTTTTAACTTACTGATGTAACTGTTGGTCTTAGGCTAGATGTATTGAGCATATGATAAATATTGTTTGTTTTTTAACCTCACAGCCAGCTGCTCACTGACGATGCCTACTATGACCTACGCTATGACCCCAACTGGAGGACCAACCTGAGGGGAGCTGGCCGCTTCAACAAGAGTCCACACATTTCTGTTGAGGAATATTACCAGTTCCCGAAAGAGAAAGCTGCTCATCCACCTGTTGAGAGCAGAGAGCCTGTTACAAAAGGAGGATACAAATACATTGTTGCCACCAGTCCAGCTGTTCTGGTAACTCCGGATATGGCTGGCAATGAGCCTGACCAGCCGTACCGCCTCCACCCACAAGATGTTGAGACTAGCACACCAACATCTCCCCACTTTCATCACCATGCGTTACAATTCCGATCAGCAGTGGTTGACCTTTCAAAGCCACCCTGCAATAATCCTAAAGAGGAAAGGGACAAAAGTTTACTGACAGGTGATAAATGTAAGACCTTCTTCCAGCAAGAACCGAGATGTCCACAAGGCAGACTCACTGCAACAGAGCAAATGACCGCATTTCCCAAGGATTTGTTTAACAAAAAGCCGGAAAGACTGTCAGGGGAGATTGTGGAACGCAACAAAACAACCCTGGGACACAACACATCCAAACGTGGCTCGTATGCGAGTGTGCATGTACGTAAGCAGGATGTCAATAAGGTGCGTATATCATTTGGAGTTTTCTCAACCAAGAACATATGCTAATGGTTAGGATTCCTGGATTGTAATGGGATGAATTCTCATACAGCTCTTTAATGACCTCTTTTAGGGAGGACCTGTTGAAACAGGTTGCAATTACAGAAGCAGACAGCAGGAGCTGCACTAACATTGATAATGATTCTTTGGATGTCGAGCTCTTGTTACACCTGCTGGACCTAAGGTTAGGTTTTTCCGGGCACTACATGAAATATTGGAATATAACATGCAACATGAGCGAATGAATGTGATGATAGGGCTGCGTTATGTTTTGCGATATCTTTACCAATTACAATGTTTTAACCACAAAAGTCAGTTCTGTGGCTTGTTAGTGCGCATGTGCACAGCACAATATGTTGTTGTGTCTTTATGTCTTTCAGAGATCTGAAATCACTGTCCTCCCAAGTGAAAAGCAGTGCGAGTGTCAGTATATATATTTCTTCTTAGAAATACTTTTTATTGGCCGGTTCCTTAAATGTAGCTGTTCCCCTGAGCACAGTATAGGCCTAGATTGTTTTTTTTATTCATCATGACTCAAGTTAATGATCATTTAGGAATATTATTGGTATCTCTATACCCTTCATTGTCATCTCAGAGAATATCCTATGATGTGTGCCCTGACAGAGTCTAGAAAATTAATTTGGCAGAGGCGCATAGCTGTTTTCATCCGCCTTTCTCCACTATATGAAAAGAGCCAGGTCTGGCAATGTAGTGCTTATTATCGGTTGATGTGTACAACAAGAACATCAGAGACGCATGGTTACCAATAGGCTCTCAGAGATCCCTGCACCTGGCACAGTGGCATAATTGGTCACGATGGCCCGTATTCCCCATTTGTTGGGCCACAAGACTGTTTGCTGGCTATAATACCCCCGAACCATCTGAGCCCCAGCCCTTGACAATGTCTCATATCACCACCATTTACATAGTCGAGAGCCGTTAGCTTTGTCCAATGGTAAACAGAGCCTTTCCCTTGTGTGTTGCCATTTCCCTCTAAATTCGCTTATTAGTTTTCCATTACCCTGTCTCCCCAAAGATGTGTCTTACTTAATGGGGACATAGAACTCAAAGGAAGATTAAGCTATGAATTGGCTATGTTCTGGCAAATGTATAGTGTATCAACAAAGCCGCTCAGAAATAGGCTTAAAGCAAGGTCATTTCTTTTATCATATTTTAAAAACAGTCTCACTAAAATACAGTAATATCAATATAAAAACTGCAGTTCTTTGCAGAATTGTGATTAAAATTCAAACAGGGAAAGAGGGAAATCCATCCAAAGAGGAATAAACATAGACAATTTGTGAGAACTTAGACAGTTAATTCTTCTCATCCATATGTGAGCATCAGCAAAATCAATACACCCCAACACGCCTTGGTGCCATCACCATGAGACTTGACTCATTGACTTGCATTATTGACTAATTATGAAATAAACGGCTGACTTAAGCATGCCAGTGGCAAATGCTCAAGGCATATTTTGTTTAATTGTTAAATCAATGCACAAACTGTTTCAACTGAGTCACAGTTTGTAGTTATTGAGTTATGTTTCACAATGAGCTTTGGAAAAGGTATGTTGAGTTTCATGAGCTTTGAATGAAATAATATATTTTTATAAGATCAAAGAACAGACTTTTGAGAATATTGCTATCTTCAACCTTCAGTATTTGATTTTTGGAAATATAATGTTAAAGGTCAGATAGAAAAACACTCAGATAACCACATATTATTTTGCAAAGCTTGTTGTGCTTCCTCCCACCCTTCCTTATCCGTGGCTCCTTGTGAAAGATAGCAACACTCCACATACAAATCACATCACTTTCACAAACCAATGTGTCCAGACAAGCCAGTTGTTAGGCCTTTATTAAAACAGCCCATTTGGTCTTTTGAAGAGCAAGGCCATCTGAAGTCAACTTGTGACAATTAGACGTGTTATTAAATGTACACAATTTCCTAATGCAGCAAATGTCTAGCTCAGCCAAGTGGCAGTAGCCATGATTGGCTTCATCGGGGTTTGGGCCTCCTTTGATAAACACAGAAGTAGCAGATCAATCTTCTGCTATTGCACTCACCCCTTAGAGTCCCTACTCCTCCGGTAGGCCCTCACTTCAAAGCGAGGGCAACATAATGTACAATCTTTTAATAGCTTTAGACCAAAGCTCTAGGGAGCTCTCTGCCACTGTATACCCTGCCTCAGTCTAAACACCTAATCAAGATTACCTGAGCTGGCCACAATAGCAGCTAAATGCAATTCAAGATCCACAGCCCCTTTGAAGTCTTCATTGCGGAAAGCAGATGTTTCCCGGATATGGGAGGTAATACAGCTTGCTGCAATTGCCAGACTTTGTTGTGACATCGTCTTACAGGGAAGCAATTATGAGCCTCCCAATTTAGGAAAAAAGATATTACACAGCTTAGCATGTTCAAAATGCAATACAGGCCTGATCATTTGCTCCAACTGACTGGGATGTTTATTATGGCTGACAGAAGGTAATGGCAGGGAGAATGGGTGAAGGTGTTTGTGATTGTGCTACACATGAAGTAGTCACTCACACTTGCTCCCGGCCATTATAAGAATGTTCTATCCTTACTGATCATCTGAAACAGTACCCTCATTTCTATAGGGCTCATTTCTAAATATTCCCTTTTCATTGGCCCGGTTAATTATCAAAAGCATGAAAATGTCCTCAAAAGCCACAGAGAGAAGACAATATAGCTTACATATTGAAATAGCATGATATCTAAATGGCTTGTCCAACAGTGCCCTGACTTCCTCTCAGTATAATAGCGGCATTTCAGCCTATTACATGCAATCACAAAGACAGATATCGATAGATGTGTTACGACTGGATCAACTCATTCCTTGTGACCTTCGCCTATTCAAGCTCACAGAAATGGTGGCATTCAGTACAGTCTTCAGCCGGTCAATACTATCGATCCACTAAGATCGTCCTCTACCACGGTGGGGAGTCCTGAAGTTTACTAAATGATTTTCATTAAAGCATTACCTGAGCATATTTCTGTGCCTCAATGGGTACATTAGGAACAACTGAAACAGTAAATGGGTGGACTATGAGGATGTCCATTCAATTAGACAGGTATTGATAGTAATGGATGCAATATTGATGCTACAATATTGATGTAACTTTAGTTTTGTTGAGTTTGATGGGCTTTATTAAAGGCGCCACTACTGTATAGACAGAGAATATATAACATTATTCTTCACAATGAGCACGTTACTTTCTCTTTATTTTGGATGCAAGCAATGCCTAAGAAAACAGCCAGCACAGAAGATCAAAAGGACTATTCAGAGACACAGTTGAGGGTAGGAGACTCTTGATCTTTTCCTTTGTCAGCCCTAGCAGCAGTGTGAAAATCTGGCAATAAGTAGTTACTTTTGCAGTATTGTGTATGGACTCTTCTGCTGCTGCAAAGTTGGGATCCCATCCCCTTATCTCCTAATTTCCTTCAGACAATATGCTCAGTGGCTGATGCTGTTGTTGTACTGTGGCTTGCCAGATATAGTTTTTCCTAAAAATAGAAAAATGAGTAGCCAAAGTGAAAAGAAAAGGATTTGAGAAACATTATTATTTTGAGCACTTGAGCAGCCACCATTGCGCTGCCAAGCAGATGAGGATGCATATTTTCCACTGGAATGGGAAAACCTGGTTGGTTGCTAAATCAGCGGCAATAGATGCATGATATTATGTTTCTTCATTTGAACAGGGACAATTTCCCCTCACTCATAGAGCTCTTGCTGAATAATTGTGTAAGATCATGCAAAGAAGATCTCCAGCTTATACTTGGGAATGAATTCTACCTATTATGAAGCGCTTGTGTTTCCCTGTCATTTTTTTCTCATGTGAATGTGTAGATTTAGAATTGATGCTATGCGTCCACACCAACTACAGATATAGGCCAAGCTAGACACACAACTGCAAAGGATATAGAAAGTCCAAATTTACAGCAGCATTCTTTGCCAATGAAGATGGGCACATTTAACACACAATTAGTGTTTGTTTGCAGGTAATACAAGACAGTATTCCAGATGGGTATGATGCTGACTGCCATATGCCATATATTTGGTTTTGTGAAAGAACACCCCTGCATACCAAAGTCACCATCGGTACCCTTTGGTACTGACTTTTTACATCAATAAAAAATGTTATTCTTAAACTGTTAATCCTTCTTTAGTCCCCAGGTACCCGGATCAGGGAAAGGAAGAAAGCCCAGCAGAAAGAACACCCCAAACCTCTTCTACCGCAGCAGCAGCCCCCAGCTGAGTGGGGAGACTGTCAGAGCTCCACATTGGCAGGAGCATCCGCTGTAACTAAGCCAAACCCTCAGAAGGCGATTTCATTGCAACCTTTGCTCCCCACCATCCACCTCAACGTCAGCCTTAACACTGCTTCCTATTTCCTTCCGTCAATCGGAGACCCGGATGGCCTTATAGATTTAGCATCTCTTCACAGTTGTCCACATTGGAGCCCTGCATCTGAAGATGAAATTGCTTCGTCCCCTGGATGTCAACAAATAAATCCAGGAATATCCTCCTGGATGTCTTGGAGACGGGTAAATCTGCCCCACCGAGACCAGGACAGTTGCTCCGAACAGCGGCAAAGGTGAACCATTTATACACTTTGTTTTCTGGACAACATGAGAAAGAGCTCACATTTTGAGGATTGCATTGGGAAAATTGGATATTTGCTGCACCCAATAATAGCGGTCAGATAGAAAAAAAGGAAAAAAGTATGTGAAAAAAACACTAGTGCCATTATAACCGGATGTTTCAATGAAATCCTAAATGACAGAATTCTTGTGATTTATTGACTAGCAATGAAGCACCATATGAAAAAAGAAAATGAATATAGGAATATGCAATATATCAAATATAATAATAGGAATATACATTTTTGTGTTGTAGTCTATATATTCATCCATCAATAACTTTGTTTCAGGGGAGCTGCATTGCAGTGGCCAATAACCTGTGAAGGGGAGGACCAGAAGGAAATTGCACAAAACCTCACTTTGTCACTGGGCTCCAGCTCTTACCCACTTCTGCCAGCTATAGGAAAGTCAATGACAGGAAAAGAGCCCGAGCAGAGCCCTGATGTGAACTCAGCCTATCCCGTCCATAGAAGCAGCTCGAAGGGCTACCTGGTTAAGATGGAGAAACAGAAACAACTAAGGACAAGAGTCCCATACAAGGTTGGTATGTCTGTGAGCTTCATTGGCGTCACAAAATGAGGGATACTAAACGCTAACAGGTGTTATATTATATTACATTGTTAGTGCATTATCTGTATGGCTGTCATCTAATCTGGGATGTCACACAGATAACAGAAAGCTCAACAACAACTCACCAAACACATGCTGAATAATTGCGTTCCAGTAAGAAAAATAAGAAGTAATTATTCAGTTTCACCTAACAAAAGTGACAGATGAATTTTTCAATTGAGTGGCATTTCCCTTTAATCCCCATGTACACGAGAGGTTACACAAATAAATGCCCCTTTGAAGATCCAGATAATCCCCTCAGCTGTCTCCATGCAGGGACAGCTTAATCCAGCAGGAGTGTTCTGGTGACTAAGGACACAAAACATCAGGTTAATTGTCTAGCTGCACTAAGCTACACTTAATTGCCATAAGATGATGACTATATAAACCACAGAGCTGCAGACTCTGAAAAGCCATTTAAAGATGTGTTAGAGGATATGGTGATTAGAAGGGAGAGAGTCTGTTAGGCACAGTGCCACTAAAGATGCCCATTTGCATTTAAAGATTTGCCTGCAGTTGTTCACTCCCCCTTTCCCTTGGTTTTCCGGGCTGAGATGTGTGCTGATGTTGGGTATATTTAATTACAGTAATGCTTTTTGTGGTTCAAGTCGGTACAAGTGTCACTGTTAAAACTGATCCCCGAATTGGTGCAAACTGGCAACAAGCAAAATGAATACTGTTATTGTTTTGCTCCCATACCTCCAGTTTTCCATAGTTACATAGCAGTTGGATTAACAACATCAAACGATGATGTTATATTGTGGGATCTCCAGATCACAACATTATAAATCTTTTCAGGCTTTAAGGAATGTGTGTTTGTCCAAGCAACTTGTGGCCAGTGTGTCTGTGTAACAAACCGTCTGAATCATCAGGTTGGCTTTAAGTACCATCATATAAGAGGATAATGCGCACATTAGCACATGACTGGCTATGAAAATGATACCCTTTTCTCCTGCAATGACCTCAACACAGACAGATTAATTATATTTTTGGACAATAGGTGAACTGTAGTCAACTATTTGATAATTTGATCAAAGAATGAGCCAAATTGAATTGTGGTAGTATCTGAAAAATGTGATTATGATAGAAAGGGCCACTCCAAAGTGTACCATATGTCTTGTTACCACAACCAACTATGGAGTAGGCTAGACCCATGAAAGATCAGAAAGGAACCTTCACATATCCACCTTGTGGTGCCGAGCACTCACCCTTTGACCTCCCGTTTCTCCCATCATGTTAGCCATCATGTCTGACGAGATTACAGGCTCAACTTGTAAAGCAGTCTTATTGCAGAACCCGGGCATGAAAGCAGATGAGCGTGTCTTAGTGGTGGAGTGAGCGGGGAGGGGGCTTGGAAAGAAAGGTACCCTGTTGTGTGCATGGCCAATGGCTAAAGCAAACTGAAATCCTCCTATCGAAAAAGCAGCCAGTCTGGAATGATGAGCCCCCTTTGTCTGGGGTGGCTTGTGGATTGCATGCCGCCATGCACATATGGTGTCACACACACCCACATACACACCACACAGGCACGCACGCACACATACACACCACACACGCATGCACGCACACATACACACCACACACGCATGCACACACCCACACGCAAACCATCACCAGTGGCTGCTTCGGAGTGGGTATACAGTACATCTTTGTTTCTTTGCGAGTATTACTTGTACCACTTCAGCTTCTCCTCATCCTCCGGTTCTCTGAGAAAAATACTTTATATCATATCAAAGCCTGACAAGGAAATATTGCATGCAATGCAATATCCTTTAAAAGCTCACTACTCTGTTTGTGTGAAGTCGTTTAACGACCACTGATGCACACAAATGTATAGGAGTAATAGGTAGGATATAAGAGTAATAGGTTCCTGGATTATTAGTCAATTTTAAATAGAAGCTATTGGTCAAAACCCTAAGTAATTAATTTCAAATCCATTTATTTTATTTTGTAAATCCCAAATTACAGATTTGTCTCAGAGGGCTTTAAAGTCTGTACTGCGACATCCCCTGTCCCAAAACCCTGCAGGATAAACTCTCCAAAAAAAGAAAAACCCTTCTATGGGGAGAAAAAGGAAGAAACCTTAGGACGGCAGAGGAGGGATCCCTCTCCGGGGATGGACAGACTACAATGAATGTCATGTGTACAGAATGAACAACGTAAAAGATGTACAGTACGTTCAATGCAATATGACAGTAATAAGTAGTCTTGGGTTACCACCAATGAGAAACAGTCATCAACCTTCAATACGGATCAATTTTTGGAAAATATAAATTATGATATAGTCGAAATTATGAGAGACGATATGGGCAGGCTCCTTTATAGTTTGATAAAGTTGCAAAGATATTCACAGAATCAGACTTCATTTTACCAATAATGACCGGTCTGCGAGCCGGACGCATTGGTCTTAATGTGCCAGTAATGATGGTAAATTCTACGGTCCACTAATGTATTGTTTTCAATCATGGTACCATTTTGACTGCCATCAAAATTAATTCAACACAGATCCTCTTCAATTAAGAAATCAAAAGTGTCACTTGTTGTTTGATCACACAAATGTGATCCCCCCCCCTCTTTGCCTTCCTCTCTGTTTCAGGCATACAGTCTGAAAGACTACAAGCAGCTGAAGTCAGATATAGTTCTGCAAGGCCTTGGTCCTGACTACACAGCTATAGAAGAGACAGTAAGTACTGACCTGCAACATCAGTCAGTGTCAACTCCGCAAAAATGTTCAATGGTGTTAGGCGTGTTAATTCATCCGCAAAAAAAAAACTGCACAAAAAATATAAACATGTTAAAACATGCATTAACAGCCTGTCATTTGTTTTTATTAGAGGGACAGTGTGTAAGATTCAGGGGCATCTAGTGGTGTGCTGCAAGTTGCTACCAACTGAATACCCTTGACCTCCCCCCTCCCTTTCTAATTGTGTTGTGGAACAACGGTGATTGTTATCTTTAGGATTTTATTACAACTAGGGGCTATTCAAATCAATACTAGGTAGATCAACATACTTGAATAATTGCTTTTTACAAAAGAGACATTTACAAAAAAAATGCTGTTCTTATGTAAACAAAGCAGTGGTGGCCAATTGAATAAAGTTTTACTTTTGTTTACATGTATTGTAGTGAGACAGATATGCGTAGCGTAATAGGAAATGAGTTCTAATAAAAAAGCGATTTTGTGTATCAACTGTTCTTCATTCATAGGCTTCCATGCTGTTCGACGGATAAAATTACACCTCCAAAGCAAATAAGGGTACCTCTAAGATGTTAAGTGCTTTATGCTAGGATGCTTTTTTAAATCCCCAGCAGTGAAAAGTGAGCATGTTTGGCCAATTTACACCAGATTGAGCTCTGGGCATCTCCAGGTCCAAATTGTGAATGATATGTGTAAATGTTGCCCCCCTGAATGGCTGGCTGTGTTTGGTTTTGTTGGGCTGCGTGGAGAGGCTCTGCCGGGGGGAGCACGAAGAGAAAGGCCTTAAGAGAGAAATGGCTCAGTTAATTAAAACCCCTTTTATAATCTGCTTCTATTTCTCTCTCACTCCCTCTCTCGCTCTTTCACCGTCATCATGCTGAGAAACTGAAGCGACAGAAGCTGTATTCAAATGTGATCCGCGAGCAGAACAAAAAGATAAGTAGGATTCCCTTTCTGCTGGCCAAGGACCCGGAAGGCAATGACAACAAAGTTCCCAGGCTGAAGGTGCGTGGGTGCTCCTTTGAATGTGTGAAACCGCACATGTGTTTTTCACAACAGGCATGTGTGCTTGAGGTTGTTTAAGAGACAAGTTGTGACTAAGCGAAAAGACAAAGAGTGTATTTGATCAGGGAGAAGGTCTTTACATGGATCCAACCCGTAATCTGGGTTCTCTAAGCGGGACACTGCTGATCCTGGCTAGCCAGTCTGACACAGCTGGTTAGCAAAACATGAATATACATTAGAAGGAAATTACAGATTTTTTAAAATAATGAATAGCTTAACAGTTGTGCTCTTACTGTATGTGTATTTAAAGACATATACTTAAAGTAATTTACTACCAATAAACATAATATATACACAACCACACAATGATAAGTCAAAGATAGAAAGTTGTTGTCCTACAGAAAGCACTGACCAAAATCAATACAAGGGAAAGCCCCATGTCCATCGAATCAGACTTTAAGATACTAAATTCAGACTGGCAGTCGGCAGATTATGCAAAAAGCACCAAGTGCAGCACGACTGCGACTGTGAGAAACTTTTCAGCATATAAAATGCTCCCGCCTGCAGTTCAGTGATTCAGCGAGTACTTTCATTATGAGATTTGTATAAACTATTTATGCAGTTATTTATTACTTTGAGTTTGATCTTCAGTAATCCAAATGCATTTGTTGAAGTATTTTCACTTTCGTTTAGTTTCTTTTTTTCCCTGCTTCAAACTATTAATCCACTATTGGTTGACCTCTGGTGACATTTATTATAATCAATACTACAAATTATTAGGACTGAAACCTTTGTCCAGTCTCACAAAGTTTAGAAGTTAAATCCACCAACAATCACATAGTCATTAATAAAGGATTATACATCACATGTACTGTGTTGTATTTTGACGTACTGGTAAAGTTATATAACCATGACATGTACCCTGTGAAGTCAGATGAATACACTCTGAAAGGTCACAGTGGACAGAGGTTTTACTGAGTTATTTGAATACTTGTATACAGTAAATTAGTAGAGTGACATTTATGGGTCTCTGTCTATTTTTATCTTAGGCCTTGGAATATGCTAAAACCATAGCCAAACCCCCTCTACAGTTTCCACCACGGCAGAGACAGAAACCAGTCCAGTCCAAAGGCTTCCCTGAGCATGCTTCTGACATGGATGTCCCTCATATGGCCGTACTAGAAGTCCTTAGAAAACGGCATGAAGAAGAAAAGCAGGCCGTGTCACTCTTCAGAAAACAACATGCTGTCTGAGGCAAGGTGAATCGATCCCATTTAACCATGCCACAGTGGTCTTTGGTTTGGTACTGCAGCATACAAAAATAGATTTTACTCATTAAAAAGTTTACTAATGAAATCCTACTAGTTTGAAATATAAATCAGTTTTTTATGCACTCACATTATATGTAAGATTGGAACTGGTGTCCATTAATATATAAAGGACTGCAGCATTTCTGCCTTGGCTTTACTACTCAGTCGTAACTATGGGTTCCTTCTTACATCCGAATCAATGCATTTACTCCAATTCATGTGTTTTAGCAAAATCACTTTTCCTTCAGTTCATTTGAATGTGAGTAGAGGGTTTGGGATTAAAATAAATAAATAACTCAGTTGTGAAAATTTGAACCAGCATCCTCTCTGGAAAAAACGTGAGCCTGTAAACATCACATTCAGGAAGCAAATCAAAGCAGTGATCAATGGGCCAATAAAGTGAAATAGGATAATAAAACGTGTGTCACTAACATGGGCCAACTGTGCGAAAAAGCTCTTTGGATGAATTCTGTTGTCATGCGTTGTCTATTACATCCAACTCGTTGCTCATGAATTCTTCCCCAGTGTACTAAAATAAATAATGAAGCATCTGGTTCTTAATCCATCCTTCCTGTTTCTGTAGTATCTATTTACACACACACAGGAACCATCTTATCACAAGCAGCAGAGACTTTTACACATTACATATACATACATTTTCTATTCTATGCACTACATTGGTTTAGGTGGTATACTATTATACAGTATACCACCTAAACCAGATGGCAGATATTTGCCTTTCTCTGAGTGTCACTGGAAACCTTTCCTTACTCCAATGATGTGCAACTAGCGTTGGATGTCACTCAAAGCACTATGGCTTTTTATCTTCATGAACGAGTCCACCTAATTAACTATCCCACAGCACTGTCCAATGCCCACACTCTTCATCTTTCCCAATATTGTTGTTTTCCCCATATCACTTTGTCTCCTCTTATTACACAGTGTTTAACCTAGAATATTCCACACGCCTTTTTGTTGTGGGTCATGGTCATTTTTTCACGGGGAAGAAAACCTGCTCAAATGAAGATGACACTTTGAAGCTCCCTGATTTGCTCACGGTGCCGTATTTTGTAGCCGTATTGTGAGTAGTAACTCCTCCCCAACACAAAGCACTCTCAAGCAGCTCATTTTACTAATTGAACCCTCAGATCATTATCAAAGCCCTATTTACCTCTGTGCAATATTTTAATGAGATTATAGTCTCTATTTATCCCATCATGGACTCTTTGAAGCCCTGTGTTTTTAGTGTTAAGTCCTCAGATGCATGGTTGGAAACAAAGGACCAAGCCCTTTTTAATTTAATGAGAAACACCGCCTATCTAGACTGAGTCTCGTTGCTTCTTTTTAGGTCCCACCTACTTGTTTTTTGCCATTGAAATTCAGTTAATTGAACGAGTCTGTCTCCGTTATACAAGAAGGGGCCAAATTAGCATCCCTTTCTGCCCATTGGGAAGCTAAGGCAGACAAGGAGGCTTTGATGTGAGAAGCACACTTTCAGTAGGCGGCAGGCTTCCTGAAAATTAGCTGATGGCCCTGCTATTAGGTCCAAATGCAGATGCGTCCATGTGTTGCAAAACGCTTAATCTTTTAATTGATCACCTTCTGCATGGCCTGTTCTCCACGTAGTCCGTTTCCCCCACCGCCTGTTAATCCCAAGCACATATTGAAAATTACACAAATGGCTTTTTTTTTAAAAGGATGGCAACTCCAGCATGAAGGACCAGAGAGGAACAGTTGTTATTGTGCAATGTGGCAATGTTAAAACTAATGAATACATGCAAATGTGGCAAAGTAGATTTTATGTTGATATACAAGTGAATAAATAAAATAACCCTGAAATGGTGCAAAAGCGTCCACCATATAGCTTATTACACACACTGTTAAAGGAAATCCAATCTCCAAATCATAAAATCATGTTACCAGATTGCACACATCAAAAATCTTTGGAATGTATTTACAGTAAAATGACACAATGTACAGCTACTTTTATGGAATCTGTACAATTTGTACCCCCTTTTTTTTAAAGAATAATACAACGAAAAAAGTATATTTTCCACCTCAAAACGGAGCTTCTGATAGAAATAATAAGTTCATGATAAAGTTCAAATACAAGATATTTCCATGTGCACATTCTGCAGTGAACAAACAGATGAATGGCTGCACAAGAAATACATTAACTGTCTTGAACTATACCGCATTTTTTGCAAATTAATTCGTGCAAAATTAATAGTTTTTAGGTCAAACACATCATATTAAACTACTAACGGTGTTGATATTAGCTAAAAGTAAACGACAAAAATATATTTATGAACAAAAATAAGGTTACTGGATTTCTAAGCACTATACTTCTGAAGAATTTTCAAAGACCAGCAGAATTGCTGACATAATCAGACGCGTTCAACATAGTTGCGACACCATCATTATTTTCATTTGAAGTAATGAACCATTATGTCCGATTATGTATATTTCCATCCTTGGACTGATATAAATGCTTTTCTTGATCGAAGTCGACGACTTATGTGTTATTATAGACATTATGTGATGTCTTGCTGTCTGTGTTTTGCGTCCCTGTTAGCGGGGTTAAAGCGCAGCGGGCTCCAGACCAGCGAGCAGGAAGCAAAACGGAGCTCCATGCTGTGGAGACTCCTTTCTCAATGCAGCGCTGAAAGGAGCCGAGCCGACCGCGCGTAGCTAAAATAATAGCACTGCATATTAGTTGCATAAATGATCCATTCAGTATTATGTGGTTATTATTTTCTTCCCCAAATATGTTTGAAATATAAAAATGTAAACGACGAACACAAATCCGCTTTAAAAAAAATAAAGGATGACAGAATAACCCATTAATTTATATACTAGATATATATATGTATACAGACAAATATAAACGCCAGTCACTCAAGTGTTTTTGACCAAAAACTAATTTAAAAAACTTTCAAAAATATGTACAAACGGCAAATAATATATAACAATACACCAACAAAAAGAAAAACTATATGTGCAAAGGAATGGGGTATGACGCGTCTATGTCACAAAGCAAGTAGCGGTTCCTTTGGCTTATTTATAAGCATCTGTACAGATTTTCTGTCCAAAAATAAAAAGACAGAGCTAGATGACATGTCAAAATCAAAGTCTAGATTTTAGTCATAATATTTATCTAATACTAATTGCCATAATAAACGCGTGTTTTGTCAGAAGTAACAACACCAAAACTCTCATCGAGGAGAAAATTAATAGGCCCACTTTTTATGTTTGAATAAATATTAACATTGTATTGTAAAGCCTCGTCCCCTTTTTGTTTTTAAAACAGTATAGCTGTGTAATGGAAAGGGAAAGAGGCCAACTTTATATACAGTGCATTTACATTGCGGATGGAGCTGCGATGAAACAACTCAGCAGCCTACTATAGTAGATGTTCCGGGGAGCAAATGTCGTCCTCAATGTCCACATCGTCGTCGTTCTCCTCCAGCAGGTATGAGCCGGGCTCCAGTCCAAGCCGCAGCTCCTCCGCGCTCTTCTCGTTCAGTTCACTCTCGCTAGAGTTGTCTGCGGATCGGTCCAGCTCTCCGGGCGTCTTCCGATCGTCCTGCGCTTTCCTCAGCTGCTTCTTGTGCTTCATCCGCCGGTTCTGGAACCACGTTTTTACCTGAGCAGCAGAATATGAGATACTTATGAGGATTTAAAAAACATAAATATACGTAATTCATTTCTCAAGGGTCTAGAAATCCAGTGCATCAATATCAAGTCAATATTTTTCACTTTTATGATACACTCACAATAAGGGGTGGCCTATGGAATTATGCTTGCTACTAAATAAAATAAATATTCACAACCCCAAATCTTAAATCATTATTCAAATATCATATATTCCCTTGATTTATATAATCCATATATTATTATATTATACTGTGTACACTATAACTACACAGCAAGCTAGAATGCATTGTCTTACAACGCGCTAGGCTACATACTGTCTTCCGCCGTGCCCTGTTGCGTGTTTAAATATGAATGAGCATTTTATAATCGATCTGTTTTGTGTGTTGTGGTCGAATGAAGAGTACGTATTATAAAATAAACAAAGGAACCGCTTCAGAACACTTTTCCGTGCCAGCCTCCCTGCGCTCCTGCTGCTTTCAGGTGTGCGCACGTGTGTGTTTGTGCGTACGCGCGCGTACCTGTGTCTCGGATAGGCTGAGCGCCGTGGCCAGCTCCACTCTTTCCGGCGTGGACAGGTACCGTTGGATTTCGAACCTCTTCTCCAGACCAGACAGCTGCGAGTCGGAGAAAACCGTCCTGGCTTTCCGGCGTCGGCAGTGCTTTCCTGGTAACTCGGCGTGGTGCTGGAACAGGGCCGGCATCTGCATGCCTACAGGTGGTAGGAGCCAGTGATGAGACATTCTCACTGTTCAACAACATAACACGCACGAACTCTTCATAAGTCGGACAAACTGTAAAGGAATTAATTGGCGTTAAGTCATTCTTATTAACACATAATTTAGTTAAATTAGAGCAGCAACGTGTGCCGTTAGTGCTTAAATATAAATGAATGATGATAAAAGCATTTAATATAGTGTATTCGGAGTTATAGTGTATTCGGAGTTATTTATTACATGAAATGAAGGTTTACTAAATGTCTCCTTCAAAAAAGAAAGAAAGTGATGCGATTAATAAGGGTTTATAGTTCCTTCCCATTATGGCTAATCAAATACAGCGTTTATATCTAGACTCCAGCAGCGTGGCCACTTTACCTGTGTTTTATCTGGCACAAGTTTCGATGTAACTCTCAGGCCTCTCTACACCTGCTATCAGAGGCTCTCTCGTGCTTACCAGAAGTGAAGAAGTACTGGTGGTGCTCTGGCTTATGGAGAGGAAGGTGCGGATGTGGCGCCAAGATCGGGGTGGGCATCAGCGGGTACCCATACTCCAGGATCGGCATCCGGGAGGCAAGGGAGCTGCAGAACGGCGAGGGTATGACCTCTCTCAGAGGTTTGGGTTTGTGCAATAAGATGTCCTCAATGAAAAACGACGTTGACCTCTGCGTCGGCACCGCAGACGCGTAGTTCATGCTCATGATTCTAGTTTGGGTTTGTTATGTCCGTGCCTTCAAACCTGCTTCAGCATCTGCCTCCTCTCCACAAGTCGCCAGGCTTAAATGCACTCTGTGTGACCAGTGGACGGCAGTACGCTGAGCATCACGGAGAGATCAGTGGGAGGGCACACTTCCAACTAGCATTTATTCAGACAGATAGCGGATTGGGGAAATTGATTTACGCATCAGCCAATTGGAGTTGTGAATGGGCGGAGGGACCCGTTCTTCGTTCTGATTGGCTGATACATGTCCGGAGCTGAAAAAATCAAACAAGAGTCCAGAAATGCAGCGCACCTGTGACCTCAGCATCACAGTTCATTTGAATAGCAACTAAAAAATCCACCCGAGAATCAATCGTAGCGGCGCTTATGCGGTTGCCTAGCAACTGTGCTGTTTTTTTCGCAAGGTTTGCAGCTTACATGGCCTAGCGGAAGAATTCGTCTTTATTGAGCATACGAACAAAAGGTGTACTAAATCTTGACCATGGATAAAAAGGAGTTACAGCTACTTGCTATCCCTTTTCGAGTGTGTGTATGGTGAATATTTTATTTATGTATTATTGGTTTGGACTTTGAGCAATTATTTTGATGGGAATTTGGAAAATGTATAGTCCGCATTTTCTAAAATGCTCTACACATAGATTTTTCGTTTATCTCGGTTGTAGTTATGAATATAGTTTCACCATTTTCTCAATTAAAAAAAATCTGTTTCGGGGTGCAGTCGGACGGAATAAACAAAGGAAACCGGTTCAGAAACACACGCTTTCTTGCAGCAGCATTTCTACATCTCCTGAAAAATATATGAATACAAATGAGATGAGCTACTCCGGAATCCGCAGTATGTTCAGTATGCTCAGGATGGAAGAGTTTAGTTGTTGGCGCTCGGCATATGCTGATAACCCGCTTGTTGGCTGTTCCGTGGTGTCGTTCTTATACTTTATTGTAACAAACATCTACTTTTCATTTAATGGCTGAAATTCAGTAAACTGATCAAAATTGTTCCTGCACTGCTGAAAACGTGCCCACAGTTCAACTTTTTGCAAACGTGAGTTAAAGGTGAATCTATCCTAAAAGTACATGCTTAGATATGTGGAAAACAAGTTCATTTATCAGACGTATTATAGCATTATTACACATGGCTGGTAAAACAACCGGATTAAATCTACATTATGTTGTGTGTATTTTACTCTTAATCTAAATTGTATCTCTCGTGGCATTACTCTGGCGTTTTACATACTATTTTGCTTATATTTAGGTATGGATTATTCCCTATAGTTGTACAATGGGCGTCCATGCTTTTGGCACGGCGTCTTTGAATTTTTTTTTATCTTGAAACTTAATTGGCTCTGGTAAGTTCTGATCTCTCCGTTCATTGAAGCCGTGTAGTCCGTGTCGCAGGAGGATTCTACTGTTGCAGGTCTGTCTAGTAATTCTGCCCAAATTGGCTGTAATTGTCGGTATTAAAATCTGGGAGAGTACAAGTGCCGCTCCTGTGCCCATTTGCGAAAGAAAGCACTGCGCTATAATTTGTTGATACGGTGTTGTCATCACATTTCCAATCAGTCCGGTTAATGTGAAAGTGTCTTAATGTAGGCAGAATTCACGCTGCAATGCTATTAGGTAATTAAGGGAGATGTTAAAGCGGAAGTTGTAATCCTGGTGCTCGAGGACAGGATTTCCATCTGATCAGATGGAGGGAGAACAAATTAATTGCTCTCTGTCTATTGCACTGGAAAAGTGCAGCTCCGCTACATTAGTTTGTAGGTTTCTATTAAATGGACACGTGCGCCCAATATTCACATTAGCATTGCGGAGTAAACGTTTGCTCCGGTTTAAGAAGATGCATGTGAACATTTCCCAAACTGTCATCACTTTTTTTCTCTCTAAAATGCACACGGTGTTCCGACGACCTTAAAAAAGAAAAAAACAAGATTTAACATTGTTTAATAGTCAAAACATAAGAAACCTTATTTCCTTTTTCTAATCAACAGTAGAAAAGAAAATACATGGCCAAAGCAGATGGAGACATCCTGCACCTGGCTGTGCGTCAATCCCTTTAGTTGAGCGCATCGGGCTAACAAGTTGCTTTTTGAGGGGAAATTAGAAAGTAAATGAAACAAATTGTGAGAAAATCGTCTTAAGAATCCATTCTTAAGGCGCGGTTAAGCGGCTTTATGTGGCCATTTCATTAAGGGAAATGTTGAGTCGGTCTCGCAGTGCGTCACTCAGTTAAGTGGCGCGTTTGGATAGGAGGTTTGCAGCAGTTCATGGAATGCTTAGAACTAGTAATACGGGTCATGCAGGAAGAGAACGCCCCAAAGGGATATAGGGAAACCCACCTGCGCTTAAGTCCAAGTTTATGTTGTATATTTTCAATTTAAGTTATTTTACAATCGTTTTGCTCTTAAATTCATCTGGTTTTTCTATAAAAAATAAATAAAAAGAATTTCTATCCTTCATAATAATAATAATTATGAATAACATAGCATATACTGTAATTTGTTTTATATATATATATATATATATATATATATATATATATATATATATATATATTACAGTACATTACAGTATATGCAACACATTACAGTATATGCTTGTTATGTTATATATAATTAATCTTAATCCCTATAGTAGAATGCTGTATATGATCGTTGGGTGCTTATAAATTGACATCGCTGAGATAGAGGCAGGTCTGTGTCATACCTGCCTCTATCTATGGAGAAATAGAAAGAGCAAGAACAACACACAAAACAGTGTCCCACAATAACCCACACTTATTACTAAGTATTATGATTATTAGTCAGTCTACAATGCTTTATAATTCATTTTTTATTATAAGTCATATGATGCAGTACGATTAAAAGTATGTTTAGAATACATTTGGCAATAACTAAGGTTATTGACACATAATATCATAAAGCCAAGGAGTGACTTGGACATAAGCAGGCCAGCCTACAAAAGTTTACCATAAAATGTTAAAAAACATCAACTGAACAGTCAAATTTTCACCAATCGTTTTATTCGAATTATTTAAACTTTCCCTGTTCCACAGGTCTGCTGTGTTTCCATGCTGATGGTAGAAATACATATCTCATCAACATAATCAAACGTTTATTTCTGGATGATGGTTTCAATCTTCTAATGAGAGTTATTGCTCCGGGGGCATTCATGCATCCGATAGGCACACAAATAGAATATACCTGGAGAGAAAGAGGTGCGACAGGAGATTACATGGCAGCTTATGTGTTTTTTTTTACCATTCCAACTTTCTGTGGTTTATGTCATTTAGTTCAAAGTTTTTGTGATTAGACATTGTAAAAACAAAAAAAATATGATTTGAGTTCTTTATTTTCTTGTGAATGTGAGTTGATTTTGATCAACTGTGTTTATGTTGTCACCAACCTCACAAAACATGTCTAAGTTCCTCTGGTATATCCAAAAACATTTGTAGAGCATAACAAATCTATACAGTAAATATACTTTAAATTACGTTGTTTACATGCAAGTCATAGTAAATGTAGTTTGAGTGGCCTTAGCTTGGCATGCAGGTTCTAGTTGGTGCTACAATATCTTAGGTAAAATCAATCCTGAATCTTATAAGTATTTTGAACCCGTCGCTTTCCATAACTTCATAAAGTATGTTTCATCTATATTCAAAACTGACCGAATGCACTATTATAGGTTATGAAGGAACACACAAGGAGTTCACGGAGATCCGAGTGAAATGTCACAGGGTTTCAAAAAGAGCACTGCTGAAAAACAACTGCTTACCTGAAAAAAAGGTGAGCACCACTGACACCCAGCCAATGATGTAGGACCAGGAGAACCTCCAGTTCCCATAGCGTTTGCCATAGTAGTTAATAGTCACACCAGTGTACACAGCCATTGCTAGAAAGACTAAAAAGCCTGGGTGGGGAAAAGACAAAATAAACATAATGAAAATGTTTGGAGAAATACACAACCATTACAACTGGCTGCTCATGGAATATTTTAGTTTGAAACAATAGTCAAATGCAAATACATGTGAAACCAAACTAACAAAGTAGAAACACAATGATATGGAGTAGCACTTACATGAGATGAAAAACAATATGCCTGCAGCAAAGGTTTTGTCAAACCTGTCGAAGGAGGAGTAATGGATGAAGGCCATTATGCCGATGATGATGCCGATGAAGCAGGCCAAAAGAGAGAGGATCATGAGGGCACGGGTGGCATCTAAGTGAGCTGTGGACAAGGTCAAATGTCAATGGAAGTCAGTGGTGGGGTCAGTGCAGGCCAACATAGATGAATGATGTGACATGTCACCCAGCTGACAATATGATGAAGAAGGGTACATTGTTGAAATAATATAAACCTAATTTCCTCCATGTCACACCAAAATCCGAAATTTAATCTGATGTTTAACAGGCCATATGACCCACAATAATTTAGAGGTATGTTGCCGTTTGGGAGCTAGCGGCACCAGTTAATTAATCAATTAATACATTTGGGCAGTCAATAAAGTCATCAGGACCAAATCGTTGTTATAATCATGACTTTTATTTTAACCTTCCTCTTGTGTTAGCTTTCTGTTACCATCCCTTGTGTTAACGGGTCGGTTTTGACCCGTGTCTTAAAGTATCACAGCATTTAATTAGTTATCAAACAAACGCGCACGTTCTCTGTGTTATTCTGTAATGAAAAATACTAGCCTTATTTCTCTTGTATTTAGTATGAAAATGTTGTGTTTGCGACACATACATCTCTTCCATGCGACTAACTCCAGTGAGTAAAATATGTATGTGCTATATATATAAAATCATATATATATATATAGTCCTGCAAATTAGAAATAAACCCTTCTCTTTGGCAGTATACAAAATGTTTGACGTACCTACTAAATGGACAATCATGATGATTCACGTAATCATCAACGTATTTCTCAAACTCCTAAAAAGGCACTAAAATATTTAGAAATCATTTTACATTACATTACTACCTCCATTTTCCATTAAAGATGAGTTCAGCTTAGCTCTGCTAATAAAAAGATTTCTGTATTGTTGAGAAATGGATCATCTCCATGAACTATGCGTGTCCACACTTACCGATGCTGTCGTTGTGTGGGAAGCATTTGCCGGGTATGCAGTACCGCCACAGGCCCTGGTGCATATAGTTGCTGGACTGCCGATACTGCATCCAGTAATCGGTTGCTGTGGAAACAATCAGGAGGATGTTCCCCACTCCTGCACAGAACAAACCTCCACCCATAAAGCTGTACATCCTGCACCTGCAGACACAGACATAGAGGAACATAAGGTCACTAAGCATCAGCGGTCAGTGAAAGGGCCCCCTCCTCTCTCAATCACACACACACACACACACACACACACACACACACACACACACACACACACACACACACACACACACACACACACACTTCACAGAGAGAGGCTCTAAGTGTCAGTAATTGCGTTGTAATGAACATATTATTTCCAATGGATTGAGCTGTGGGGTCGTCCATGTGTATGTGCTCCACTTTGTTCTCTAGGAGATCAGTCGGGGGATACGCGGGGACTAGTGCGCTCGAACATACACACACACACAGACATTCACACACACACACACACACACACACACACACACACACACACACACACACACACATACACAAGTCCACCAATGCTTTGATACTTGATACATCTATTGCTCATTGTTCCACCTGAATGCAATATCCTGCACCCATCCTCTCCTGCTCATAGAGGACTGCCATGAATTTATTTGTCCTTTTTTCTGTGTGTGTGTGTGTGCGTGGGGGGGGGGGTTGATGGAAAGATATGTTTGAAACCTGAACTGAACATGATGCTCGTTGAAGAGCTCAGTGTATTCATTGAAGAGCTCTGTATATCCGCAGGACCACATTTTACTCTGATCAGCCTCAGTTCAGGAGTCCAAAGCAGAGCACTTTATAATCCATTTGATCCCCACCATATAAAAACCATTGCAGATGGTCTAACAATTTCAATGTTATTTGCAGTATATCAAATTCAATTAGCCAGTTGGAATGAATAATAATTTTAGGAAGTAATTTCTTTGCAGACAGGCTAAAGTCCCTTGAAAAAAACAAGTTACGTGAATTTTCTTTTTAACTAGAGGCAGGCCTTGTGACTAGGACTGAGATTGAGCTTACCTCTCAATCACATCACTCAACCTTTCCCCCCACTCACTACAAATGTATTATATTCCTATGAAACATCTGAGACTTGGACACACCAAATATAGAGAAAGTAAAACTAAGAATACGGCTGACAATTACCCATCTCCATCTGTTTTTTTTTGTTGGCCTCCAGAGGAGGCTGGGTTTTCATTCACCACATTAAGACAGAAGCTTCTCATATCTGTACATTTGTACCTAATTGGCTACGGAATGACAACCTTCCTCTCCATGGAATTATACATGAAGACATTTTAAAAGGCAATAAAGTGATACAAAACTCAATGTGTGCACATTTTCTGATACAGTAAATACTAATATTTACAATGTTCCCGGTGGAGCTCATAAAGCTGCAGCTGTGTCCGCATGGAGGAAAATAGCAGAAAGTAATACAAAGAAAAACACAAACAAACAAATGAACAGTTATTGGACCGAATTCAGTATAATCTTACCTTAATCAATGTGGTTTCTGAAGATGTTTATGAGGACAGCGTTACCTGTTAACAAAATACCACAAGATCCTATGATGTCCAGACTACCATACATACCAATAGTACTAGCGTTTGGCGGGTGAATAGGGATAGACTGGCGTTCCAACAAACACAGCGCTCTGACAATAGGCCAGGCCGGGCCAATCAGCTCGCACCAGTTTTGTGGTCTGGGAATCTGCTGAAAAAACAGAAACGGTTAAAGCTTGGCAAGCTGAAGTAATACTGATGACTTCATGGTTTTGATTGAAAGTAGAGGACTGAACTGGCTTTAGTGGAGGGCAAGCCAGGCACTAAATCACAGTTGTTGACTGCTCCGCCTCTGAGTTGTTCATTTTTTAAAGCAACCACTATCGCCCAGTTTAAAAAGTGCTATTAAGTCTCAATAAGGCAGTGAAGTTTAACCTTTTAACTCGATGGAAACACTTAATAAATATAGGGCTTTTGTTAACTTACAATTTCAGTCAAAATAGAGTAACTTATCACATTCACCATTTAAATGTTCTCCAATCTTAAGAATCACAAAGGACACACAAAGGAGATACATGGGGAGAGAGAATTAGACAAAGTCAGACATCAAAGACAGCAAATATTGTATACCAAAATGATGTCACTAATACGATGTGTCAATGTGGTGCTGTGAGCCCAGTAAACTGGGGAGATACAAATCTCTATCAAGATGATTTAAATTACCAACAACCAACAATCCCATGAAAAACCTCAACGCAAACAGCTCATCGCAAACAGCTCCCCATTTCAACCAAAAACATTTTGATTAGGATGCAAGGTTTTAATGCACCATTGCATTACTAGCACTCCTGATTTTCATTTTATCAGTAACTTTGAATGACCATCAAAATGTGTTGGCTCAAATGGCAGTATAGCAGTATATACTGAGATTAAATGAAGATGCAGAGGTCCAATGTTAATTGCTTTTCCTAGTATACTCATTCAGTTATGTGGAAACAGTTCTATACACCAAGTGAGTTTGTGATTTACATTTCCACCCAGTTTGCTGCACAGTGCACAATGCTGCACAGGTGTAAATATGGGGATCCCATTGTTTCTGTAACAGAACTCCAACAGAATTCATTAAGATGAAATGTATGTTTTAATATAAACTTTCTTTGACCAGCTTCAGGACTTACTTACTTTTACTACATAAAAGCAGAGCCCTCTGCGAGTAAGAACACCTCCTCAGGTGGATAGAGGTCATTTGACTGTCTCGACCTACATTCATTAGGTTCCTCGAAAAACTTCATCAGGTGCTTGTAAGTGCTGCCCCATAGTATCAAAAAGATGTGTTTGTTTACAGTGAGTGTTTGTGATGGTTTTCTCTATGCTGGTGTGAGCATTAGATAAGGAAGGAAGTGGATTTTTGATAGCCATCACTGTTCTGAAGGTAGACACTCATTTTAACAATACTCATTTTATTTTCACAGTGTCATAAAAAGATTATCATGGTAGACACAGTAGCAATATGAAAAAGTCAGATGATGAATTGGAATCAATCTGTTTCATTCAAATACATATGTTACAGTGCTTGTAGACAAAAGTAAGCCTAACCCTGCAAGCAGCTCACACTGGTTCTGAGCCCATCACTGCGCTGTGACTCATGTTTATTTCGCTCGAACCATCGTATGGCTCCTCTTGTTTCCTCTTGTTGTGCCTCTTTCCCGTATCTAGCCTGGCCTACCCATAACCCCCCCCCCCCCCCCCCCCCCCCACACGGATCCCCTTTCCATATCAAGAGCTCCAAATATTCCGGCTACATCCTTGACCCAAAACCCAAAAAATTGAAGGGGAGATTCCATTCGACAATACTTTTTGAGAGCGGGTACTACCTCATTAACTTCTTCAAAAACATGCGCTCAAAATGTATTGTTTTCCCCCAATGGTAGTTAGAGGGTGCTTAATTAATTTATTTTTTTAATGCCCAATTACTATTTTTTTCTTTTGGGTTGGGATGAGCCACCTTAATTATATATTATCCCCACTGCCTACACAATGCGGATAATTATTCTCATGATAATTCACGTGCAATCTTTTTGGTCTTGTCCCGCAGTTGCGAGATGCATTTTGTTATGGAAAGTCTATATTTATGTGGTATCATCAGTGGGAATGGAGCTCATGCAGCACTTGGGAAGGTAATGTGACGGGAGTAATTACAAGAGTGTGTGGCCTCACTAAGCCGAAGCACGTCTGGAATCCTGCGGCTCGTGGGCTAGCAAGAAGAGCTCCACACTCATGCAGTGTCTTGTCTTCGTAATGTCTGCTTTGGTAATGTACTGTCTCACCTTCTTAGAGTTACTGGATCACAGGCTTCACTGGCTCAAGAAATCCAGGTGCTTGTCGGCCGGACATTTTAATGATATCTGAGCCATGCTGGCAAGTAAGTTACAGTACATTTGTTTAAGTATAATTCTACTCTACTCTAGAGGTACTTTACTTTAATAATAATAATAATAATAATAATAATGGTAGATGTAATAGGAATAATAATAACAATGTTATAATAATAATAATAATAATGGTCGTTTGAGTAAAGTGTGGATTTATGTTTGGGCCACCAAAAACGATCAGGACAATAAAGGCAGTGTGTTTGAGGCCACACAGTCCTAGTCTGGCAAAATAAGTTAAAATACTTTTTGGAATGGACCATTATTATTATTATTATTATCAATACAAATAATCCACTGATGCACGACTGAATGGTAGGGGCCATTCTGCTTTGAGTTGTCTTTTCTTTTACTCCACCAGAATTTTGAATGCGGCACTTAAATAGTATGTTTACACAGTTTTATGCTTCTTTTAAAGATGCTCGACATCTTCCACCATTATATAGGAAGCTGAAGGATATATGTGCAGAATCAAAACATGATAAATATTGTTTCGTAATTGCAGACTGAAGGAGACAAATGGCCGCAGTTTTCAAGCTCAAGGAGGGGGATTAGTCTGACAATCACAATAAGCTTCTATGAGTAATTAACAGTGTACCTTCATGAGAGTCACATTCCCACATTGCCTGGCCTCTTTTTTAGTTGTTGATAGTAATCCCTAGGCTAAACAATTCATTTTGTGTACGAGTGTGCAAACATTGTAAGATTCATGGTGTTATAAACACATGACCGCAAGGCTTTAACAACAACAACCATCTTTTATTCCATTCATATGTTTTCATATTCACAGATGAGGAAATCTAAAGTGTTTTTATAGTCACATAGTTTGTAATGACCCTGCATCACACAAGTCCTCGAAATGTTCTTTAGTTTTTGTATTCATTTGTTCCTATTACTTACCACTTTCGATAGTCTTCAGTATTGCAATGGCACACTCCATATACGGTCTGCACCAAATCAACCCCACTAACAGATCCATCATTCACAAGCTTCGATCCATCTTCGTGCTAATGGAACAAGTGGCTGAGCAGCAGATGACCTTTCATTATGGACAAAATGTTCACATTACAGCAAGGACAAGGCTGCTGAACAGGGAAACGGCCTATAGATCATATGAGAATAGAGGTGTGAAGTTGACAGAAATTAGCCAAAAAGTATGAAGAGCTGGTATTTTCCAGCTGTGCCGTTCACAAGGCACAAGGCCACAAAAACCTATAATGGCCTCTAAAAGTTATCGACATTAGCGGGCAAAATGCTTCAAAATCTTTACGTTCCAACCACGCTATGCCTAAATACTTAAATCAACTCCTCGAAATTGAATTTTCAAGCCTTCAAATGGCTAATTTGTGGTAGCAAGTGCTTTCAGCGTTTTCTCAGCAAATGAACGGCGGCTCTAATCATAAGAGCATGTGGATGGTGCTGCCTCTCCACACCCACCCATGAGACAGCTGCGTGGACGGGGAGAGAAACATTTCCACTTAACCACTTAAATGAATATATCAAGAAACTAATTTGCCATTTTAATTGCATGATTTAGACGACGCTACTTCACTTGCCCCTCTTCCATCTTGGTTGATTTCCAATGTGAGCGCACATTAGATTGATCTATGAAAGACTGCAGAAATCACAACACTTAAGTCTTTTCATTTTCCCTCCCTAATTAAATAATTGAAATTCCTGTCAGTCTCTGCACTTAAGCCACACACAACATTGCAGGCATGCTGCGTCGCTGAATGAATCATGAAAGGCTTGTTTTTATCACTTCTTGTTTGCAGCCTGTTCCTTTCTCTCGCCCTCTACCTTTTTCATTTTTGTCTTCCAAGAGCCACGGATTCATTCCATCTGTCAAGCCCACAAATAGATCAGTACATCCATTTTGTTGGCATTTGCCCGTCCCATTAAGTGATTGCTTGCAGAAATGGCAGGGGACATTTCTTCTGATACGTTCCCTGAAACAGCGCTGGCAGACATTAAGGACACATTATTGAGTCCCATTTTCTCCCCGGCCACAAGGATATCCATTAGCGAGGCACACAGCCCTGAATTTTTCCATTTTCTCGCTCACCAAACTTGACTTTACACATTATTCTGCCTCTGTTTTGCAATTTGCAGCCACAAATTATATCAGGGAAAAGCCATCTTGTACCATGTGGCTCCACTTCCAAGGGCCATTTGCCAAGACTTGATTCTGAAGTGTCAAAATGGGTCCATCGTTACGGCTAATCATGACTGACAGCCGGGTGGTTTAAAGTCCATACAAGTTGGCCCACACTCAAAACTTTCTGTATGTGTGTGTTTTGTGTCAGACTTGTGGATTTAGTTTTTAGTTCCATGTGCTTATCTTGTTCTCTGATACTTGCAAATCCAAATTTTAATAGAAAGAATGGCTTTATAAAGTGCTATATAGATTTATTAACCAAATGTAAAGATTCAAAATTAAAAGAGAATGATCTACATTTCTTGTAAGCAGACCCTAGTATATGTAATAATGCAAGATATTATCAGTTATAAGGCAGTAATAGAGTTAATAGCAGTGCTTCAACTTCACGCTGCACCTCCAGCCTCTTTGTGTCTGCCTGAAATACAGGCTAAATCGTTATACTTTAGAATTTTCCTAACACTTTCTTTCTGTTTTTTAAAAAGTGCATTAAATAAAGAATTATGTTCTTTTATTTTGAATCTCTACACAATGCATTAACATGAAGCACAGCTTACAATCTGTGGCGGTTTTTAGAGGCCTC